CTAGCTACTCCAGCTACCAGAGCCCTACATGCCTGCCAACCTTGGTACAAGCCATTCCTTCCTGTATGGTGAACTCCTATTCATGCTCCAAGACCCAATTTAAGTCTCTTCCTCTCTGAAGCCTTCCCCTAGCCCCAGGTGGAGGTGATCACTCCCTTCTCTGTGCTTCATCCAAATACCTTTGGGCGCCCCTCTACCCCTATGTGTCTCCTCCATTGTACAGTCAGCTCCTTGACACCAAGAAATATATCTGAGGGCTCTGCACAGATTAGATGAATGGCAGCCATTTTACAGATGAGAAAAGCAAGTTTTCTCTAGGTGAACTGAGTAGCTCAGGAAACAGACCAACAAACAGCCAGGTCCCCCGAGTCGTGCAGACTCAGAGCTGAGCCCACCATTCTCCTCATCCAGCGCCCTCAGAACCCGCGTCTACTTCTCCTGGGAAAGCAGAAGCCTGAAAACCTGAGTTTTTCTTAGGGCATGAATGGAGAGAGGGCCAAGGCAGGCGCGGGGAGAGAGTAGACGGAGAGAGAAGCAAGAACCCACCAGTCCGGCTTCAGATTGTTCCTCTGGACCGCGGTAACGGCAGGGGATTCTGTGATCAAGACAGCTACGGGGTGGGGTAGGAGGCCACACACCCAACAAGAGAGAGCAACTCACACTTGCAGAGACAGAGAGACCCAAAGACAGCTAGGGGCAACCCCCACCCGCCGCTTCTTCCTTACCAGGGAAAGACGGCCATCTTCCCAGTCACATGACCGCTTGTTCTAGGGCCGCCAGCCTTGCTTCTCTAATGCAGACCCCGCCCTTGCCGCCATGACTGTGAGGGGCAGGCACGGCTTCCGCCGGCGCCATGATTGTGAGGGGCAGCCGCGGGGTGGGGGAGGGCGCCATGATTGTAAGGGGCAGCTGACTGCTCCGCAGCGCCACCGGCGCCATGATGGTGAGGGGCAGAATCATGCGATTAGATTCCTAGCCCACCTGCGTCCTGGAGGGGCGGAGAAGAATCCAGACGCTGACGGAGTGGGGACAAACCGCAGCTGCGGTAGGAAGAGGGTGTCTGGGGTTCAGCGAGGGCAAGGTTTTGCCACTAGTTCGCTGCTTCTCGTGGCTAAGCCCATGGATAAGCCTCTCTAGGCCCCCGCTTTTCCTTGTGTACTTCGCCGGAGCTAGGAACTTCTGAATCCCCCTCCCACGACTAACAATCTTGGTGCCTGAGGGCTGCCCTAGATCCGAATATGATTAATGGGAATTAAACCAAAGGCGGAAATTGGGGTTAGCATTTTCTCTCCCTTGGCAAAGCCGTACCTTTGTATTGGCAATGAAAAAGAACCCGAACTCTGTAAAATAAAGAGTTTTATTCTGAGTCAAATGTGTGCAACCATGAAGATGACCAGGAGAGTCACGTCCAAGAAGCCGTGAGCACGTGGTTTCGCTGTGGTTGGGTTACAGTTTGGTTTTATACATTTCAGGAAGACAGGAATATACACATAAAGTCATAAATCAATACCTAGAAGGGTACATTGATCTGGCCTGAAAAGGCAGAGTATCTTGGTGGGTTTACAGATTGTTTGATTTGTAATTGGTTAAAGAAATGCTTTGTCTAAAGGTTTGGAATGTTTTAAGTTTAGGACGTATGTTAATCAGAGACAAACTATCCCACATTTACAGACTCAAGTGACCTCTTAAGTAAATTGATGAACCTGCATATGTGATTTAAGCTTTGTCTTGCATAGCCTTAGGCCTGTTAAATGAGTTACAAATTTATTTCCAAGAAGGGAAGGGGGCATGAGAATGCATGTCTGACCACCCTTCTCATGGCTAGCAACTCAGCTTTAGGGTATTTCTGGGGTCCCGTTGGCCAAGAGGGGTTCCATTGAGTCAGTTGGTTGCAGGGGGCTTAAGAGTTTCAGTTCACACTATGAAAGTGGATATACATTTCATTTGCAGAACTTATAAGTGCTAGTGCTATCTCTGATTTTGTAAAAAGTGGATGAAACAGGATATTTTCAAAACGGCTGCTTACTAAAACGCTTACTGTGTCACGCACTGTGTTGAGCACTTCACATGCACCCTTCATTTTTTCCTCACTACAAACCTCTGAAATAAATATTTTTAATTCCAAACCAAACAGTAATGCAGGACACTCTTGGTTAATCACAAGGCAGCATCTAATCCTCACTTTTCCCCTTTTACTTTCAACTATTTTGTTTTGTTTTGTGACAGAAAGAGGTCAGAAAACCACACTCTCAAGAGTTCCTCTGGAAAAGGCAATAGAATATACTCTCAGCTCTATAGTTTTGCACACTGAGTCCTAGTTTCTTCATCTGTGAAATTAGGCTAATGCTGACTTTAAGGTGAAGGGAGATGATTATGAAATGCCTGGCACATGGTCAGCACTCAATAGAAGCCGTGATTTGAGGCAGGCGAAAGAATCATTGTACCTGTGATCTTTGTGTTTTCAGAGCTTCTCTCTCCATGGCAATATATTGTGCAATCTGTCATAGAGCTGTGCTTCTCACACTTCAGACACCACTCACCTAGGGACCTTACTAAAATGCAGGCTCTGAGTCAGATCTGGGGTGGGGCCTGGGCTTCTGCATTTCTAACAAGCTCTAAGGCCGCATTGCTGCTGATGGTCCCCTTTGGACACAAAAGGGATGGTAGCAATTATGGGTGGTGGAAGGAACCATATAACTAGGAGGCGGTACAGCAGAGCAGTATCCTGTGCTCTTAAGCATACTGAACCAAACCCCCGTTATGTCACGTATAGGAAACAGAGCATGAAAGTAATTCTGAAACAGGTTGTTAACTTTATGGAATATGTGAATAACTAAGGGATTCTCTTCACCATAGGAAGAGAAGCAAAACCACAGTTCTGGTGGTTCATGTCCTTGAGGAATTGAAGAATTAAGGCCATAGAGAAACTATGACCAAAGAAGAGAACAGATGAATAAGTGAAAAGGTAATGTTTTATTGTCAAGTATAACTTTGGTCAGATATGATTTTTGTCCTTAGAGTTGTTAGAACCTGACCACTGATTCGATTCCACTGTAACATATCCCAGTTTGACTAGATTTCTCCTTTTTAAAAATGATTTCTGGCCTGGTACAGCGGCTCACGCCTGTAATCCTAGCACTCTGGAAGGACGAGGCAACTCCTAAGCTGCTTGAGCTTAGGAGTTCCAGATCAGCCTGAGCAAGAGTGAGACCCTGTCTCTACTAAAAATAGTAAAAATTAGCCAGGTGTGGTGGTACAAACCTGTAGTCTCAGCTACTTGGGAGGCTGAGGCAAAAGGATTGCTTGAGCCCAGGAGTTTGAGGTTGCTGTGAACTAGGCTGATACCACAGCACTCTGAGACTGAGACTCTTTCTCAAAAAATAATAAAAATAAAAATGAAAATTATTTTATAACCTACATAAATGTACACTATGGTCCTTTATAAGTAAAGCATTCCAACTCCATTTGTTTATAACTCTTACTTTTTCATTTGGAGGTAGTAGTCTGTGGTTGTTCATAGGACAGTGACCTGATGGGGGAAAAAGGATCTTCATCTCTAGGAAGGGTCCTTCAGCTTTCAGCTCAGTATGAGTAATGAGTTTCCACCCATATCCCCTATTCCCAACATATGAAATGAACAAGGGTTGAAAGGTGGCCAGAGGAAAGTGAAGGATCTTCCCACATAGCCTTGCAAATGATCAAATGCAACATCTCACTAAGAGGTGAAAGTGAAGAGCATTTTACTACACTCACATGAGATGATTAGGCAGTAACAAGACCAAGATTCTTAAAGCTGTGCAAATTAGCAGCTTTAATGTGAACTTCAGTCTTAGCATTCTCTCCTTTCTCCCTCTACTTCTCCACTGGCTCCTCAACAAGCTTCAAACTCTTAATAAGCTAAGACAATTCCAGTTCGAATGGAGTTTTGCCTTGTGAAAAGTCCAACTCCTGCAAACTCTAATGCTGGACTAAGGACTATTATGGGTGACATATTAAATAAAGGGATATACCTTTCATAGAACTTAATTGTAAAACATGATCATATCACAATATTGTTTTGGCCAGAAACTTTTCACTATCTATTCCTTAATAGTCTTTTCCTTGGTAAATAAAAAAGATCAAACCAGATTTCCTTTAAGATGAAAAGTTTATTTTATCTTTTGCCTAAAAGCAAAACTAGTGAAAATTAAAGTATAAAAATAAATACAATTTACATTAATGGACATTCCACTCAAAGTAAAAATAATGATAAAAATAATGTATATAAATAAAAATCCATCAAAACCACAAAACAGTGTCTGGCACTTGTATGAGAAAAAGCTGTGAACATTTTTTAAAATGTGTAAAACACACACAGGTTTATCTTTAAATTAAAAATACCACTCAAGTTTCTCATCCTTAATCTAAAACTAATTTTAACTCTCTCCAAAACATACTATTTGTTTTAGCTAATTTGCATTACTGAACACAAAACTTTTAGCATCTTTCTTTCTTACTGAAGAGACCTACAATGATATGAGTAAGCTGTATCCTGAGTTTTCAGAATGATAAAGCATAGTTTATCAAATTCAGAAGATAATTTGATATACTTTGCTTATAAATAAAAATTGGTAATTCAGACTTTTTTGACTATCTTCTAATTTTCTGGTTTACTCATTCAAGAAATGATGTATCTCAGTAAAGAAAATCAAATTTACACCCAGGGCAGAGATTATTATTTTCTTTCTATAGCAAGATGTAAAAGTTAAATTTTAAATGGAACAGAAATCAGAGAAAACAATCTTTATCCCCATATTCTTAAAAGGATATTAAGAATATATATATGCTGCATTTTCAAAATACCAATCTCTCTTTAAAATTGAAGTTAGAAAGATTAAATATACACAGCCTCAATTTTATGTTAGAAGCACAAAGCCCTTTTAGAAAATGGTATGATAAAAATAACAGTGACATTTCTTTCATAAAGTCATGTTCTCTTGGTGACATTTGTCAATTGATCCTTTTAGTGAATAGTGATGAAAAACCTTAAACATCAGCGCCTTTAAGCAATGCAGAATTTTTTTTTCTTCTATTGGCAGGATCAACTAGGTAGGATGCAAAACTTTAGGCAGTATTACTATCCCATTTGAAATCTGAATTTATTATTATAATTATATAGCCCTTTACTCTCTCCTAAATCAAGCATGCTAGAAAAAACAGACTATGAAGAAACAAAATATACAGACTAAACAGAAAATACAACCGTATGCAACAAGTAATTCTTATTTTACAGAAATAGATATAATAATGCATTCCTAAGTGCTACATTCAAGATTGTGCTGTCTTCCCCAAATTTGTTACCCTTCAAAGAAAGATCTTAAAAGCTAGTACAAATGTTTTGACAGTAAGTACTGGATTAACATACATGAAACCTATCATTTCCGTAAAACAACTTGTCGTTGACAGGAAAGTATACTTCTGACCAAAATGGTGACCCACAGCTACTATATGGACATTGAGAGGCTAATCTGAGTTCTTAAAGTTACAAAAACAGGGAAAAACAGTCTTCTGCAATAATTTCCCCTTGAGTAGAATAGTATCTAATTTGTTTATCAAATTCAGCAGTAAGTATGTAGGGATGAATGAAATTTATGTTTTAAAACTTACAATTTGTCATATCTTTTCAATATTTTGTAAAAATAAACCCAAATGGCCATTAAGTTTACCAAAAGGGTCACTGTCGACATCTGGGTGCATAAAGCAAACTGATGTTTGTGTAAGTTAAGCACAGAGATGAGGCAATTCCTAAACTAATTTCTCTTCCCCCAAGCCTACTGTTGAGAGGAAAATGGAGGCATGGGGCAGGAATTAGCCCACTGGCCAAGTTCTCCAGATAATTGCTCAGCCTTTTGATGTCACTTTGTGTAAACAGAGTCCAGGGTTAAATAAAAAGTCTTGGACAGGAAAAATAATGATAATAATCCTCCACCACCCCCCACTTTTTTATCCTAATGAATGCTGTCTTCTTAAATTGTCGCAACATTTGGCCGCTTTCTTTGGATTTTTCCTGCATATACTCCTAAAAATAGAGCAAAACTAATATTATTTCTCAATGGTAGTTTTTCTATACAATTTAATGAATGTTTACTATTAATATATACTGAGCACTTAGCTAAGCAATATACATTGTCATATTTACTCCTTACATGAAAGAATCCTGAGGTAGAAATTGTTACTACCATTTCAAGGATAATAAAACTGAGGCATAGGAGAGTACTTGCCTGAGGTAACAGAGCTAGAAGTAGAACTCTGAGAACCCAATTTCCACCTAATTTGTTATTTTACTTAACCATTTTCCATAACCACCTACTCTGCATTGATTAGTGGTTTCTGAATTCACTAGAAACTCTAGTCAAGCACAAAACATTAAATGAGGAAATATGTTTAAAAAAATAACATCAGAGATTGCAATTTGGTTTCTAAAAACTATAAATAACTTTAAATGCTTTGCAGCGTACTTTAACATTTTAGAATTCTTCAGTCTACGAGTATGATATTCCATCATAACAAAAATGAGTTTTCTATAAATTGCTTAATAATAGGTTTGTCTCCAGGTAGAGCAAATCAAAGCATAATTTCAAATTTGTATGAAACATAATCCAGGCCATTAAAAATCTAAACAGGAAAGAGTAATCTTTTCAAGAGCAACAATGGATTCCTGTGTGCAGATTTAGAGTTAGCATTTTAACCAGTCAGGATCCTAAATTCTCAGTTTATGTAAAAGAATAAAAATCTTTAGAGTTTTTCAACTATCTAAATATGCACTCATGTATAAATAAATCTTCAGAAAAAACAGGAAAGAATTTTTGTACTTATTTAGGTATGTATTAATTGTACATGTTAATCCAAGGGTTAAGTTCATTTGTATTAATAATTATGTTGCAATGCAATTAAACCTCAGTAGTTCTAAGTACTGGACCTCACTATATGTTAATAACATCAAAGACTGCCTGTTCATCTTTTATAACATTGAGTATTACTGAATAGAAACAGTAGTTGCTATTTTGCTTTTAAGTTCACAAGTGACAAATAGTGGAGATGAAATGCATGAGAAAAGAAGATGGAGAGTAGCTACTGTGGCAAATTGGTAATATTAGGCAAAACAATACCAATTCTTCAATGATTTTCCAACTAGCTAAGATTTATGAAAATATATAACACTAACATGGGAAAAACTGGAAATGTCTTAAAATTTCACAGATTTGATCTTTGGTTTGAGTTTTTCCAAATGGTATCCTTCAAACTATTAATAGCTGATTCTGCCTATGGAGTAAGCAAAATCTTCAAACTATATAATTCCTTTTAAAACAATTCCATTGACTGTCACAGTGATTTCCAACAGATGACCTTTTAAATTATCCTATCTATATATCACTTTATAAATCATATTCAGTACTACACACAAAAAGTCAGCAAGGATTTCAAAGTTATAATCAATTGTTTGTTCTATCTTTGAACTTCAGTGAACAAATGGTGGTAACATGAAGAAATTGCTTATGTTGCTTTTTCCCTCCTAATTCTAAGGGAATAACTTAGTAATCAAAGCTCTAAAATTTGTCTAATTGTATAATGGAAAGATTACAATTGATTGAAGGTTTAATCTTCATTGCCTGGTGATTAATTTAGGTTTCCTTTAAATGTTTAGAAAGCAGTTTAAAGCACAACATTTTGAAAATATTTTTCAATGGATCACATAATTTTAAGTGAACTTAATCAAAGTGTCTTAACAAAGATACCTAAAAAATATTACAGCATTTGGTTAGGAGCTTTGGATTAGCTCAACATTGAATTTGTCTTCTTGCCACCATAAACAGAATTTTAAAATACAGTTTTTGGTTTAGCCCTTAAATAATCCTCACATAATGAACATAAGGAGAGATTTAGCTCAAGCTTCTTATTAAGCAAAAGATTAAGAACCCCTGACACCTGGCATATTCACATATGATCTTGTGGTCAGAGGGAGAAAGTTGTCATCCCCTTATGCGCAGATACAAATATTCCTGGGGGATATACTTCCCCAAAGCTGAAGAGACATGCATATATTCAGGTACCAGATTGTTTGTTATCTTCTACTCATTAATACAAAGATTTTCTGAATTAAGCATGGATAATTCTACAGATTTTTCAGAATAAAAAATATAATGTTTTCTATAGAAATATTAAATCAAGATTGGAACCATAGTTTTACTAAGATTTTTTGACTGCCACAAAATATACTAAAGGAACACTAATAGGAATGACCGTGAATATGCAAAAATTATGATGGCAAAGAAAGACAATGTATTCCACTTATGTGGCCTGGGTTATAGGATAGCTTGTGCACTTCTTTCTATTGAATGGGCTTCAAGAATTCATTTTCTACACACCTGAAACAGGCGCTCTGTTAGGCACCACTCTGCTCTGTGAAGACTTCTGTCTATTTTGCACAACCCCCTTCACTGATGTCTTAGGGGTTCTAATTGAACATAAAAAAATTAATAAGTCACTTGCATTAAGGTCTAAATGTTCAAAATTCAAAGAAAGCAACCATACTGCATCGTTCAAAGCACAAATAAGCTTGAAAAGTATTTATGCATGCGCATAGTAAGGAAAGCTATACTTTTGCTTCAGCAGGAAACTATAACCATACTCCTAGTTTGTTGGAGAATCACTTTGGTAATGTTGAACTTACTATATGGATATTTAAATTATTTAATGAGTAAGATGGTATGAAATGAAAAGTAAAAACATGCCAACATAAGATGACAATTAAAATATAATACACAACATTACACCAAGAGGGTTATATTTGAAAACAAGACTTTAAAAGATTGTCCTAATGCTATAAAAAATATCCCATTGAAAAATAGTTATACTTTATGTAAAGAATACTATATTTTTCCCTCTCAAAGCAAATCGTGATTTGAATATTTTTAAATACCCATGTATGTGACATTCTTACCCTTGTCTACTAAGCAGCCTATGAACAGGTGCATTCTGTCCTTGGTTTGGCTGAAGGACTCTGTTGACAAATTAAATAAAAAATTAATTTAAAAAACAAATTGTTTTCCCATTTTCTTTCAGTGGATGAAAGATGACAGTAAGATGGAAATCACCTATGCAATGATATGGCCTATTTATTACCACAAAGCAAAGCAAATTGATTAAAGCATATTAATATTGTACTTATATTTTGCTCACCAAGAGCCCAAACCTTAGGTTTTTATCAGGAAAGAGATGTCCAACATATACATTAACCCTTGTGTTTTTAGATAATCTTCTTATATACTTAACAAAAGACAACTCTTCCTTTCAAACATGTGAGAAAAGAAAATACCACTCTCAATTTTACAAGAGTAGAAAATAGGTCAGAGGCATAGTGGCTCACGCCTGTAATCCTAGTACTCTGGGAGGCCGAGGCAGGCGGATTGTTCGAGGTCAGGAGTTCGAAACCAGCCTGAGCAAGAGAGAGACACCATCTCTACTATAAATAGAAAGAAATTAATTGCCAACAATATATATAGAAAAAAATCAGCCAGGCATGGTGGCGCATGCCTGTAGTCCCAGCTACTTGGGAGGCTGAGGCAGAAGGATTGCTTGAGCCCAGGAGTTTGAAGTTGCTGTGAGCTAGGCTGATGCCAGGGCACTAATTCTAGCCTGGGCAACAAAGCGAGACTCTGTCTCAAAAAAAAAAGAAAATAGGTCAGAAATATTAAGCTAGCTTTCTAAGGTTTTTAATTAAATATCAAAGAACCTTTGGACTGTGGACTAAACTCAAGTCATAGCAGGGTCAAATTTCCACCACAGATAGTATGTCCCACTCAAAGCTCCAGGAATATCTGGTCTGACACCAGGTATTTTTTTTTTTTTTTTTTTTGAGACAGAGTCTAGCTTGTTGCCCAGGCTAGAGTTGAGTGCCGTGGCATCAGCCTAGCTCACAGCAACCTCCAAATCCTGGGCCCAAGCAATCCTGCTGCCTCAGCCTCCCGAGTAGCTGGAACACAGGCATGCGCCACCATGCCCGGCTAATTTTATATATCATGTTAGTGGCAATTAATTTCTTTCTATTATAGTAGGGACAGGGTCTCGCTCTTGCTCAGGCTGGTTTAGAACTCCTGACCTCCGAGCAATCCGCCCGCCTCAGCCTCCCAGAGTGCTAGGATTACAGGCATGAGCCACCGCGCCGGCTGACACCAGGTATTAATATGAATCCTGAGCCTGAGATCCTCTGACTTAGCAAGAAGTGTTTACTGATGTAAAACAGAACAAAGTCAACAAAAAGGAAGTTCAGCATTTATAATTTAAAAAAAAAAAAGCCTCTTGATGAGACTAAGTGATTTTTCTCACCTTGTTTCAGAAGGATTTTGTTTAACCAGAAATTTCTTATTTGGCATTCCCATTTCAGCAGCTCTAACACAATATAAAAATAAGGACATAATGTATTTAGAAAAGGAAAAGAAAACATGCCTACAAGTCTAATGTGGGATGACACAAACAAATCATCATTTAGAAGTTGCTATACTACTGAAAGACCTGTACTAAGCATGTAAAGACTACTTTCAAGGAAGAAATTTTAAAGGATAATTAAGATATTCTTCCCATTAAGTTTTTCTTCCTAGGAAATCTTTAGGATATCAGAAAAAGAATAAATTTAAAAGATATAGTGCAGTGATGTCTTTCTTAGGACACCTTTGGATTTACCATGAAAATTAATGAATTCTGAGCAGCTACCTCTTAAAAATAAATAAATAAAAGACATAAAATTCAACATTGAATATAAGGATTAACTATTTTTAAGATTGGTTGGTTATCAGTTATACAAGTTGAATGTTGACAAATTTATCTAATTGATAAATTTATCTAAAGATGAAATCAGATTTTACCACCTGAATTTCTTTATATAAAAAGGGATTTCTATCAGCTCAACTGCAGAAAAGTTGTTCTTTGTTTCTAATTTGAATATGCAAATAGAACAGATGACTAAAATTAATTGGTTTAATACTAATTAATACAACATAATACAAAAAAACTTACTTCATGAACTTCTTCCTATCAAGAGACTTCTGTGTTGCAGCTGAAAGAGCCACTCGTGGACTTTTCATTTTATCCTTTAAAATACGAAAGTAATGTAAAACTACTGGTACCAATAATATTATAATACAGGATGATCTCAAACTGCCTGGAAAACCTTTCTCTTTATTAACATTTTTACCTTTAATTTAGTCTTCTAACTAAAGCAGTTCTGATTCTAATAATTAAAATTCTTTTTCCCAATGAAATAATATAAATTTTGCTTGTTTTCCTTTTGCCAACCACACTAAGATCATTGATTCAAACCACAAGCCACCAACACTGTAATACATTTCAAATTAATTTGAAGCCTATTTTCTAACTGATTTCAAAAGAGGCAAAATCCACAGAATGTTTTCAAGGAAATTCAATCAGGAGCAACTGATAGTTTTTTATAAGCCATACAAGCAAAACATTCAAAGCTTCAACTCCAAAATCCAATCACAAACCAAAATGTAATTCTTTTAAATCTGTCTAGATTTAAATGTTGCTAATAATCTTAGGAATTACCTGTGCTTAAGAATTGTCGGAAGGGTGCTGAAGTCAATAAAAAAATGGCATTTAGTATCAATTACCCTAAACCCAGAAGAACCCCATTCATTAGAAAATCATATAACATACCATTTGCCTGAGCATTTTCTCTTTGCGAACTTCTCGATCATGATGTAGAATAGACATTCTTTCAGCTGCATCCATTACAAAGAATATGTCATGAATGCCATACAGGGCAGCTCGCAACTAGGTTCAAAAAGAAATACCATATGCATTTAAAAGCAATGTTATATATACTATGCACACTTCTTTTATGTATTAAAAAACATTATAGTAGTTTTCATTGAAACCTAGTTTCATTGATTAAATGAAGACAGAGAAACGTAACATTTCTGTTTCGTAAAAGCCATAAGGATATGTGCATTTACCTGAGCTAACACTCTTTCCTGAAGTGAAGCATCTTGTGCTGAAACAACGCCTCTCTTTAATGGTGCTTCTGACTGAAAATTTCTCATGAATTCCATAGTATCCTGAAAAAAGAAATGCTCCTTCAAAAACATTTTTCTAGAAAGATTCATGATCACTGGAGTGTCCTTTTTTTCTTTTTCCAATCAATCCAAAATTACAGTTGTCCCTTGGTATCTGTAAGGGATTGGTTCCAGGAACCCCACAGATACCAAAATCCAAGGATACTTAAGTCTGTTATATAAAATGGTACGGTATTTGCATATAATCTATGCACATCCTCCCGTATAGTTTAAATCATCTCTAGATTACTTATAATACCTAATATAATGTAAATGCTATGTAAACAGTTGTTATACTGTATTGTTTAGGGAATAATGACAAGAAAAAAAATCTGTACATGTTCAGTACGGATGCAACCATTTTTTTTTAATATTTTCAATCTGTTGTTGGCTGAATTCATGGATGCAGAATCCAGATGTGAGATCCACAAATACTGTGAGCCAAATGTACTAAGAACATAAATAAAACTATTACTTATTTGATGTCAAATAGCATTCACTTTGAAATGAGACAAAAATACACAAACTGGCTGGGTGTGGTGGCTCATGCCTGTAATCCTAACACTTCAGGAGGCTGAGATGAGAGGATCACTTGAGGCCAGGAGTTTGAGACCAGCCTGAGCAACACAGCAAGACTCTGTCTCTACAAAAAATAGAAAAATTAGCCAAGCACAGTGGAACATGACTATAGTCCCAGCTACTAGGGAGGCAAAGGCAGGAGGATCACTGGAGCCCAGGAGTTTGAAGTTGCAGTAGCTACACTGATGCCATCACATCCTAGCCCTGGCAACAAAGGGAGACCCTGTCTCAAAAAAAAAAAAAAAAGTACAACCTACTTCATTTACATATCATTTATAAAATTATCTAAGATTAATCATTCGATTTCTAAAAATAAACAGTGACTATAAAATGTTTGATCTCCCTAAGTTCTGAACTAATCTGTCAGCTGTCACAAGATTAATATAAATTATAAGTGAAATACAAAAAATTTACAACAATCTTACTTTTACAGTCTGTCGAAGTTGCTTCAGCTTATCTGTCTGCATAAGCCTACGAGTAAGAAATCCTTTTGCTACTGCAGTTATTTTGTTCAATTTTGCTTGTACTTCTGGACTAAAAATCTAGGAGAAATAAGACAGACACAATATTTATTGAAGCTCATTTGTACAACTAAGATGCTGTCGCTCTTAAAAATAGATAAATAAGACAGATGGACATATATCACTAAGTTTGCTCACCTGAGACCATCTAGTTTTGGCCTTTCCAAAAGGCCTTGTTACTGAGAGTTTGGTCAAGCCACTAGTTGATGACCCCCAGAGGTAGAATGGTGCTTCATTCGAAGAACCAAAACTATGTTGTAGGGCAGAATTTGTGAAACCTAGAGAAATACACATATAGTATTATACTTGATGTTGTATAATCAGAATATGAAGAACATCCAATTAAACATTGTGACATCATTACTAACAGTTGCCTCTGAAACTGATCCACATGCAGACTTAAATATTTATGGACTTTAAGCTTATGCACCAGATGGATCTTTTCAATAAACAGCATCTTAGGATAATTGAAGTTGTGAAGATAGGCTCTTACAGGGACTGGGGAATTAGAGGTAATTCAAGATCACTTGGGAGATAACAAACTATGTTTTCACTTGAAGTCTATCACCTGCTGCATGAATGATCACAAACTGGGCTCTGAGCCGAATTTCCTGGTATTTTCCTTGCTAAGGCAGTCTTTTCTCATGAACACCTGCTCTAGGTCTTTGATCTGCTATCAAGTCGTTTTTCATCGGTTACTAAACAGCTGGCAAACAGCTGTGGGTTGGACATGGAATTACTTGAAGAAAGGAGCTACAATTTTAAAGTGTGCCAAATAAAATATTTTACTGTAGGATAAATTTTTCAAATGGAAAAGGATTTTTAAATATTTACCAGAACTATTTGAATTTGAAGTATGGAGTGAATCCACTTGAGACAGCATTGTTTCTAGCAAACCAGAGTCACTTATTTTTCTCCATTCTAAGTCTACCACATTATTAACGTCCAATTCAGAGGCTTCTGCTGTAATTGCTTTCTTCTCTTTTAATATTTTCTCCTGTTCTTCTATTTCCTGTAGATTAACAATTTATTATAACATGGTAGATCATTTAATTACATTCCCAAATATTATCATTTTAGGCTTAGCCAAAAGAATATGTAATTATCAGTAAATTATTATTTAAGTTTCCTCCCTCAAATAAAATTATGAAAATTTATTTGACTTTAAAAAGTGATATACAGTTATTCACACCTTACAGGTGTGGAGCACACTGTCTGGGGCATGGGCATGCTTGTAGCTCTGACTTGGGTGGTGCAAAGGCAATGTATGTAATCTAAACATTTGTCACTCCTTTAATATTCTGAAATTTTAAAAAAATGTGATGCATTAACTATAATAATCTTGTAACAAATGTCTTTATGATATAGCTCTTGCAGAATGTGTACTTCAGCATCTATCTATAAAATACCTCTTAAAAATATTACATGTTTTAAGTCAAGGATTCAATAAAGTATTCTTTTGATAAATTATACAATTACTTTTAGGTAAGGATCTAAATATTAAACCTCACATTTTGACATTAAAAATACTACCCACGTATCAAAATCAATGACTCTCTTGGATTAAAATATATGGGGAAAAAATTGTAAGTATTCTATACATTACTAAAATTCATACTTATCCTCAGATAAATTTTACTTACCACCCCAATCTCCCCCTATATTTTAATTCCTCACCTTTTGCAGTCTTTCCTGTTCTCTTTCCTGCTCAGCTATGAGTAGTGATAACTGCTGGGCATGCTGTTCTTCTAGCCTCTTCCGCATTTCTTCAAAAGCAAACATCTTGCTTTTTAGTATTTCCTCACTTTCTGAAAAGAAACATCCCCTCAAATTTAGAAGACTCACTACAAGTCTAATATCTGATAATTCGTTCCTAAATACATTTTATTCTGCGACAATTTGTTCTTGTTTATGTGTAGTTTTTCATAGGCAAGGGGAGCTGGAAAAGCAGAATTATAACCTTCAGCAAGAAAGGAAATAGCCCCTCACCTCAACCACTCAGTAGACAGCAGGAGTCCATTGAGCTCTATCTTAAAAACTTTCACTGAGCTGTGGGCAGCTCTCAGCACACTACACTGCTTCTCCTGTCCACTGTGGCAGCTACCTGGCTGCCTCCATGATTGGCCTCATCTTGCATTATTAAAGCACTGCAAGATTTGCCACTTAGTTGGTTTTGTGTACTTTTGATATTAACTGAGGCAGCCTCTAGCCTTGCTATGTTGTCTACTTCAGTGGTCCACAACCTTTTTGTCACCAGGGACAGTTGTCATGGAAGACAATTTTTCCACGGACCAGGGGGGGTGAGGGGGGATGGTTTCAGGATGATTCAAGAGCATTACATTTATTGTGAACTTTATTTCTATTATTACATTGTTATATATAATGATATAATTATACAACTCACCATAGGTTGGGGATCTCTGGTCTACTTGGAGGATCCAGGTTGGCTCCCCAAGAACCAACTGTTGTTTCTATTACAACTTTCATAAAGTTGCACAGGTTTTAGGTAGTCTGCCCCAACCATGTATTTCCCATAAGCCCTAAGAACTTAATTTATTTGATTTATATGTCTTCCATATCAGTAATCAAGAATTATGAATCTGGCCAGGCGTGGTAACTCACGCCTGTGATCCTAGCACTCTGGGAGGCCAAGGTGGGCGGATTGCTCGAGATCAGGAGTTTGAAACCAGCCTGGGTAAGAGTGAGACCCCCATCTCTACTATAAATAGAAAGAAATTAATTGGCCAACTAATATATATAAAAAATTAGCTGGGCATGGTGGCACATGCCTGTAGTCCCAGCTACTTGGGAGGCTGAGGCAGCAGGATTGCTTGAGCCCAGGAGTTTGAGGTTGCTGTGAGTTAGGCTGACACCATGGCACTCACTGTAGCCTGGGCAACAAAGCAAAACTCTTGTCTCAAAAAAAAAAAAAAAAGGAAAGAAAGAATTATGAACCATGACAGCAGCAAAGGAATGATGAAGAAGAAAAACATGCTTTAACAAATTGTTAATGTAACACTGGATGCAATAGAAAAGAAATCTGAAAAAATAATTTTTATTAATAAAGAACCATTCTTTTTTTTTTTTTTTCAGCAAAGTTTTTGGACTGAATATAAAGAACCATTCTTAAAACACTCAGAGCTTTATTTGTGATACTTTTCTTTAATAATTTGATGCTAAAGCATTTACTGAGGGGCCAACTACATGAAGATCTCATTACAGATGAATGAATATTAGAAGCCATAGCCCAAAAGACCTCATAGCAATACACTGGATTAAAACTACATATGATGTTTCATATAAGAACTGTTTCCTTCAATCATTAATAATATCAAGTAGACTATGAAAGCTTCATCATTTAAATAAGAAAATCCTTTAAGAAACAGTATGAAATGGCAATAAACTGTAGCTATAATTATATGCTTTCTAACAAGAGAAAAGGAGTGGCTATATGAACACATAAAGCAATTTTTTTTTCAAAATGTCAATGAAAAGTATTAAAATAAAGTTGCCATCTGCATAGCAAGTATCAAACACTTCAAAGTTTCCTTACCTTTGGAACTAGTCTCTGACATTTTATTCTTGTTAATGAAGACAGATCCCTTAGGGTAGCATTTTTCTGGCCTTTCCTGTTCAGCTATTCCAGTTGTTAAGACATAAGGGCAGTTTCCTTTTTGCAAACTATCAATATCTAAATCAAGTCTCCGTTTAACTTTCTCAAAACTGTTATCCAAAAATTGTTCATTTCCACAGAACACTGTAGGTGTGTCTATCTGCTGTCTGGTATTCTGATTTTGCATCAATAAAGGAGATGGGTTTTTTACATCATAAGATTTATTCAATTCCATTTGTAAATTGCAGTTTTTCTCTAACATACTGGCTGACTTGAATCCACCCACAGTTCCAAAGTTTTGACTTGCTACGCACTGATTGGTGGGATATGGTTCATGCAATTTTGGCATGGCAGTACAAGTACTATTCATTTTGTGCGCTCCTCTCTCATCAGATGTTAACTGACCTTCCGCAGTGGCAAGTCCATGAATAACTTTATTTTCTAACTGATTTCCTGTTGATTTACCTAAAACCATATCGTCAACAACTTCGGATGTATTTTTGCTGACATAAACCTTGCTTGAACAAACTCCTGCTAAATTAATTGTTAACTTTGGCACAGTTTCAGGTACATTTGTTTTTTCATCAGTATCTTGAACAATTAAATCCACTGCCTGTTCTTTTCCTTTGGGGCTCAATTCACAGGCATTTATTGGGTTATTTATAAGTATGTGACATTCTGATGATGGCCTGGAACGCCTTCGATGCATTTTAGGACTCATACTTGGCTCTGGACTAGGTAATTTGGCATATGAACTTGCAAGACTTTTCATAGCATTATTTTCAGTAACAAAAGTGGGAATAACTTTAAACTCAGAATCTAGAACAGTGGGATGGCCAGTTTGTATAGGTATGTCCACTTTAGAAAAGCTAGCTAAAACTGGCATATTCATGCTGCTTGCTTGAATTGAAGCACCTTGGAGAAGAACATTTGATTTATTAAGGCTTGGTTTGTCGGGAATAACTGAGACACAGTGTTTGCCTATCATCTGGGCCTTCTCCTTTACACAGTCAGTCACTTTTACAGCATCATTTTCTTTGTCTGAATGACTCTCATTAACACTCCTCTTTGCACTACTTCTCAGACCGCGTCTAGATTGTTCTCTTTCTATATATTCCTTTGACTTTTTCATTAGATTCTGAAGACTCATTACATAGGGATCCGGAATGACTTCTGCCAAAAGTGATGGATCCTGTTCTTCATTTGTTGAGAAGACACTATCAGAAATAAGAGTCTCTTGTGGGGTTGCTGAGGAGATCTTTGGAAAAGCTTCATTTTCTGCATGACTAATATCTGAACTATCACATTGCTTCAGAGAATTAAATCCTTGTGAATCTCTGGCTAAGTCTATCTCATTAGTTTTACATTGATCTTCATTCTCCAATGGCAAAATTCCAGCTATCTTTTCAAGCTTTACTAAAGTAGAGTGTTCAGTAGGGCTTGGAAAACTATTTGGAGATGTAGCAGGAACAGTCAAGTTTCTGACTTCTGAATTAGAGTAAACTGTTTCAGTCTCCCACTGATCAAAATCACTGGTATTAGGTGCTTTTCTAACCTGAAAAAGGAAATTTAAAAATTAATATTTCCTCACTGCACAAAAGCCTTTAATTTCATCATTTTCTATAATAAAACTAAAATTGAAGATTCAGAGTTCTGACATTTGAAAACATAAAAACTAAGGTGACTGGTTTCTAAGGTAAACTATGTGACATAGGACTCAAATTACTCTAAAAAATCTATTGGTCATTACAGCTTATTTATTAAAAGAAAAAAGGAAATCATCTAATCTAATAAAAATATGGACATAAATGTATACACACATATTCATATATACATGTGCAATTTAATCTCAGAATAGAAGCATTTTCCTTAACTTTCTCTGGCCATATGTTATTAACATCACCTTGTTCCTCCTAGGATAGCTGTCATCTAAGGATAATAATGTATGCAATAAATAGCAAGTAATTAAATGTCTTATGCAAATGATCCCTCTCTAACAAAGAATAACTTGTCCAGGAACTGATTAAGCAAAAATAATTCAATAATAAGACTCCTATCTCCTCCATGCTTACTCCCCATAAAATGAAGCAAACTTATAGTAAATAATAGCTCAGCCATGTACATTAAATTACTTAGAAATAAAAAACAGTTCAATTTAATTCATTAAACCAAAATTCAATTAGATTAACAGACTATGAGTTAAAATAGCAAACTTGTCTACATTTTGAACCAGCATAATAGGCAAAAATTTGATACATTAAGATGAGAACAACTGTATACACAAGAGATCTAAGAAAAAATAAAATACATTTAAAAATACATGTTAAGGCCAGGCTCAGTGGCTCATGCCTATAATCCTAGCACTCTGGGAGGCCGAGGCAGGCGGATTGCGTGAGGTCAGGAGTTCAAAACCAGCCTGAATAAGAGCGAGACCCCGTCTCTACTATAAATAGAAATAAATTAATTGGCCAACTAATATATATAGAAAAAATTAGCCAGGCATGGTGGCTCATGTCTGTAGTCCCAGCAACTCGGGAAGCTGAGGCAGTAGGATCTCTTGAGCCCAGGAGATTGAAGTTGCTGTGAGCTAGGCTGATGCCATGGCACTCACTCTAGCCTGGGCAACAAAGCGAGACTCTGTCTCAAAAAAAAAAAAAAAAATACATGTTTAAAATAGATACACTTTGTATCTAAATAATCCAACTTTGCAAAAGAATAAAAAGAAAACTAAGATGGTTTCTAAAGAGTATACAAGAATATATTAAACTGGCAGAAAATGGGGAGGAGGGGGACAGGGGCAATATTTGTAACCCTAACAATATTTGTACCCCCATAATATGATGAAATACAAGGAAGAAAAAAAATGATTAAAAAAAAAAGAATATAATCCTAGAAAAGCCAAAAAAACAACAACAACAAAAAACAAAACAAAAAACTGGCAGAAATCATTGGACTCCAAAAAACTGAATATTAAAATATTTGTAGGTTGTTTTGTATGTGCTTGTTTTTTTCCTAGACCATATGGCTTGCCAATTTTAGCTTACAAATCCCAAGACAGGTAATGGTTTCCAGGTACTATGCAATAAACAGTACAACAGGGCATACTTAATCACAACCTCAGGACCAAAATAAACCAAAAGAGATGCAGATTCACAAGTCTATGAACATGTTCATAAGTTTAAGCAAACTAGATTATTTGCTTATATGAAATATTTCACATTTATGATATTCAGCAGCTATGTCTTTTATATACCACTAAAATGAGCCTTTGGTTAGACAAATTAAATAACACCAAAAAAATCTACGTAGAATCATAGGTTTTACAGGTGAAACAGACCTTAGAAATCTATTTATATAAAATTTCTGTATTTGAATAATTCATTATAGTTCAACATTATATATGCTCTTTTAAACAGACAGCTTTTTAACTCAACAATAATTTTGTTACTAGTATATTTATCTTCCCTCAATGGACCAAGAATGATATGCCATTTTTGTTTCAATAACAGGAAATATCTTGTAAGTCAAAAACCCACCTCTTATTGTTAAATTAGCCATACACATTATATTTTTTAAACTTATTGAAAGTAATTATAATCTGCAAATTAAAATCTATTACTCATACTACACATTAACCACAGAGAATGCAGGTACCAGTGGTAGAAATACCCTAAGGTTCATTATACATATGTTTGTTATCTGGTATGAATTACACAGACAAACCACAAACCCCTAAGAGTATGAAAAAACAAAAAGAACCAGACAGCAAAACAGTGCTATATATGGCAGAAATTATTTTTTCAACATAATTCATTTATTTTTCTTTTTAGTATAAAATGATCCATACCTTAAAACAAATTTTCTATGCAAATTTAAATTAATCAAAATAAAAATAATTGCAAAAAGGTGGATGTGTTGTTTAAATGGTTTTAACTCGGTTCTAGGATGCATCTTGGCAATTCTATTTATCTAATCCAAACTGCATTTTGTGTATCCAAGAGCAGAATTTTAACCAAAAAAATTGGGGGCAGTTATTTACTTTAGCAGATAATGAGAATAAGGTCATATAGTCTGATTAGTTTACGAGTAAAGCACAGTGACCAATTCTATCATTCTTTCACTAAGAATTAAATGTTTTTAGAGTCATAAGATGCAGACAATAAGCAATTATATTCAGTGTGTGGCTCCATTGTCTAAGTATCCTCTGATTCAAGTACTGGGCATCACTAACAAGCAAGTGAATTCTCTTTGGAGTAACTGAAACGGAATATTACAACTTATGAAGCTTCTCAAACATAATAGTAAAGTATATTGATAATTAGCTAAGTACAAATGTATTTCTGAAAAATTATGACCAATGCTTACCTTATGATTTCTTAATTATTATAACCTAAAGGAGTTTAAATTACATACCTGAACATTTTCAAGAATCTCCTGGACACGAGTCAGTAAAGATTTCTTCCTATTAACCTGCTTCCTTGCTTCCACATCAAGTGCTTTCTGCTTTTCTTGTTGCATTTCCTTTCTTTTCTCAACATTAAGCTGGAAAATATCATAAAAAGGTGACCATTTCTCAATGATAAAAATATAAAATCAGAAAGCATATTTGAAGAGAATGATTAAAAACATGTGCAAGAGGCAAAACTAATCTATAGTGAAAGAAATCTGAACAGTGGTTGAGGGTATTGAGTGGGAAGGAACATGCAAGATCTTTCTGTGGTAATGAAAATATTCTATGTGGGTGTGAGTTATACAGGTGTATGCCATATATCAAAATTATGGAACTTTAACACTTAAGATCTGTGCATTTTACTGGTGTAAATTATTGTCAATTGAAAAAAGCTAAAATAAAAAATTTTGTCCATTTATCAAATGCTCTAAATTAACAGAAATGGCCAGGTGCGGTGGCTCACGGCTATAATCCTAGCACTCTGGGAGGCGGAGGCGGTGGATTGCTTGGAGTCAGGAGTTTGAAACAGCCTGAGCCAAGACCCTGTCTCTACCAAAATAGAAAGAATTAATTGACAACTAAAAAAATATATACAAAAATTAGCTGGGCATGGTGGCGCATGCCTGTGGTCCCAGCTACTCCGGAGTCTGAGGCAGGAGGAGCCCAGGAGTTTGAGGTTGCTGTGAGGTAGGCTAATGCCACGGCACTCACTCTAGCCTGGGCAACAAAGTGAGATCTGTCTCAAAAAAATAAAAATAAAAATAAATTAATTAACAGAAATAAAATTAGCCTTTTATTGGCCATTGCTGAGCTTTTCATTCCTTCACTTAAATATTATTTTACTTTCAATATATTACTTCACTGGTCAGTTAGATTCTCTAATTTTTATATTCTAATCAGTGCACATTTTACCTCTTTGCTGCCTCAAAGAAATGTCTATAAGGTTTAATGATAAAAGAAACAGATAATGTTTTATTTGCCTACAAAATGAGAACACATTTTTTATTTCCACTCTATTGTATCTCCTATAAAACTATAATGGACCTAAAATATTGAAGGCTTCTAACCATTATAGCTTTTTACAGTGGATTTAAATCTTAGTGAAGTCCTGGGAAGTTTAGTGATTGTGTTAAGAGTCAAGACTTATTTTATACTTATGCAAGTGAAAAAGTAATATAAAAATTACTCCAAAGTTGCAATATTCACCTATCAAACACAACTCAAAGTGTGGATTAAGTCTATAAACATCAGATTTTGCTTATAAATAAGTAACTGATGGAGTCATAGACTCTACACAACAAGCCTCAGACATTTGGTCCATATTAAATCAATCAATTGTCATCAAAATGCTGATAAAATGTTGTTATAAATATTTCCTATTTTGCTTGATACCAAAGAGTTATTACAGTTTGCTCATCAAAAAGGGAAGTGTGTATTTTAAAAGAGCTATCCAGCAGTCGCATATCACAGGGATATGATGAAAGAGTCTTCCTGACTATCCTCTATTCCTTACCACTCCCCAGAGAAGGGATATACCATCCTTTTAAAAACCCAAATGGTTAACATATATTGAGTTTATGTTACCTCCTATGATCCAGGTAGTATTCTAAGCATTTATACATATTAATTCAATTCTCAAAAAAGACTTACAATGTAGGCACTATTTTATCACCATTTCACAAAGAAAGAAATGGACCACAAATTTACCCAGTAGTTAAGGAGTAAAGCAATGATTTGAACTCAGGCCAAGGCACCAGAGCCTGACTTTCAACAGTTATTCTAAACTGCCTCTGACAGTAGGCTACACACAGTGATCTTTCCATGCTTACATATTTAGATCTACCGTACTCATTGTAATGACATTGTAAGATCTATAAAGTGGACCACAGTTAAACAAATCCACTACTGATGGACATTTAGGTGGTTTATCAATCTTTTGCTAATTTAAACAATGCCACTATAACCTTGTACATATTTCCTGGGCACACATATCAGTATAACTAAACTGCTGAGTCAAAGGTTATGCACTTTAAAATTCTGATAAACACTACAAAACTGGTCACCAAAAAATGGAATCAAATGATTCTCTCACACAGAGTACATTAGAAGTACATTTTCTCCACAACCTAAGGAACATTAGGTCCTATCAGATCTTTGCAAATCTAGTAGGTTAAAAATAATAATCCATTTGTATTCTCTAATTATGTTTCTTTGGGATATTTTTAGTTTGTTTTTAGAGATGGAGTCTCATTTTATTGCCCAGGCTACAGAGCAGTGGCTGTTCGATGGCCATGATCCCAGTACTCTCCTTAGGCAACCTGGTGGTTGGTACCCTGCTCCCAGGTCACCTTATTGATACTGAACTTAGTGCAGACACCCATTTGCACTATAGTGCACCATAGCTCACCATAGCATGCTATAGCTTAGAACTCCTTGGCTCAAGCAATCCTCCCACCTCAGCCTCCCAAGTAGTCGGACTATAGGCATATGCACCATGCCCAGCATGTCTTTCTTTCTTTTTTTTTTTTTATATTTATTTTTTATTTTTTTTGAGACAGAGTCTCACTTTGTTGCCTAGGCTAGAGGTGAGTGCGTGGGTGTCAGCTAGCTCACAGCAACCTCAAACTCCTGGGCTCAAACAATCCTTCTGCCTAGCCTCCCAAAGTCCAGAGAGCTGGGACTACAGGCATGTGCCACATGCCGGCTAATTTTTTCTATGTAATATTAGTTGGCCAATTAATGTCTTTCTATTTATAGTAGAGAGGGGTCTCACTCTTGCTCAGGCTGGTTTGGAATCCTGACCTTGAGCAATCCGCCTGCCTCGGCCTCCCAGAGAGCTAGGATTACAGGCGTGAGCCACTGCACCCAGCCGCCAGCATGTATTTCTCTAATTACGAAAAAGGGTTAGGCAGTTCATCAAATGTTTATAAGCTTTTCTTTTGTTTTTCCATGAACTGCCTTAGTGGTTCACTACAGAAAAAAATTATTTAAAAACAAAGTTTACCAGTGGCGAAAGCACAGCCACTCCATGGAAGCGAATAAGTGAAATACTTTCAGACTGAGCAGGTAGAAAGCTCTCTGTGGATACTGATGCTTCTTGTATTCTTGCAAGACTTTTTTCACAGAACTTCTCATATTCCTCCATCTTTTCACAATCACACTACAAGAGAGAAAAATGTTATTTTTAAAATGCTGAGAAAAACAGATCTTAATTATTTGGCAAATTTGTAGAGCAGGAGATAGTCCTAGCATTCACAATTCCTATAGCTGGCCTTCCCAGAACTGTCTCACTGATCAGGAGCTAATTCTTGAGTATAGTAAATCACCTCAAGATCCTGCAGTTAAGACTTGCTTCACATATTATTTCTGAACATTTTTGTATATAAATCAGTCCTTAAATGTGACTATTTTAGAACACTAAGAACTGAGCAAAACCTTAAGGAAACAAAGTTCTGTACCACTTTACTAACTTCAGATTGTAAAATACAATATATTTCCCTTAACAGGACTTATCTACACAAGTACCTATACAGTATATGTATCATACAACAGTAGAAATGCTTTTGTAGCAAAAAAAGGGGGCTACTTAAACAAAAGAGTATTTACTTTTAAAAATCCTTTTTCTATTATGAAGTTCAAAGGCTATTACTTGCATATCTTTTTTTCTTTTAAGTTAAGAGACAGTCTCACTATGTTGCCTAGGCTAGCTTGCAGTGGCTATTCATAGGTGTAATCATAGCATAGTATAACCTCGAACACCTGCACTCAAGGAAGCCTCCTGCCTCAGCTTACATATCTTAAGACTATGTTTTGACTCCATATATACCAGCCCCCTCAGTCACAGGTGAAAAGCAAAAAATCTATTAGCTCTGGTATTAATTCTATTTTATTGTTGAAAATTGGAACCACCACCAAACTACTTAAATCAATCAGCCAGTAATTTCACTATTTCTGGGAAATTTTAATGGTGGTTATTAAAATATAAGGTAACCAGGAAGGATTACCCCATATTCATTCATTCAACAGGTATTAAATATTTATTGTTTGCTTGTCTGCATAGCATTTTGTGTGGCACCATTTCCTTTAAATAAGTGAGGGAAAAGACATCAGAATCATAACCAACACAAGTAGGAACTGTGGACACAGAAAACCTAATACAATGATGTTCCCTTAAGTGTTCATTTAAAAACAATTAACTAATTAACAAAAAAAATGAGAAGGCAGAGAAATTCAATTCATGATGTGGGCAAAGATGAAATAAGATAGAATATGATACTATACTAGGCCTCAGAGTACTTAAAAATCCAGTACACTAAAGTGTCAGGGACAAATTATAGTGCAATTAGAAATGAAAAAAAGCATATTCAAATGTATGATTAGATTATGAAAAAAATATATATATTGCTACTTTTGGCCAACTGGTAGTTTTATCAATAACAAAACCTCTTACTACCATTCCATCGATTATTTCTATATTCAATTTATGCAAAGTGAGTTTAGTTTCAAATAAATGGTTCTCTACAGCATGAACAAGATTTTGTAAGCTTATATTCATTTAAAAAAGCATAAGTAAAAGCAACAAAACACCTTACTGCATAACAATTTTTTAGTCTAGGTTTCAACCCACATTATATCATAATAACCAAAATATGTAGTAGCTAAGATGTAAAAGAAATTCAAATGAACCTATTTCTGCTAACATACTTTAAAGTACTTTTGTGAAACAACTCATGCATCCAGCATTGCAGGGAATGTAAATAGATTATTCATACAAACAAAATAATATATTTTGAATATGCAAGCAAAACATAAATTCAATTTTAAAGGTTTAGAAAATTTAAGGCAGTAGTTTCATTTTTCTTTCAATAACATCATAGAGATATGCCTCATTGTTTCAGAAAGTTATTCACATCCCTTAAATACTATATGCATGTCCTACATATTGCAGATATACAATAATTTATTATTATTACAGCATATGACAATGTATTAACCATTGAAATACAAGTGCTAATATGGAGATTAGGGAAATTACCAAATGATCCTGGAGCATGACTGGATCTTTCTTATCCTTCAGTCTCAGCTTGGATGTCCCCTCCTAAGAGAGGCTCTTCCTGATTACCCCATCTAAATTATCCCTGCCTCGGTCACTCTCACATTACCCTGCTGTTTCCCAATTTTCAGAGCACTTACCACTATCTGAAATTATCTTGTTTATTTCCTTGATTTTTGTCTGTCTTCCTCCACCAAAATGTAAGCTCCATAAGCACAGGTACCTTTTCAGTCTTGCTCACTGAATCCCCATTACACAGAACAGTGTCAGGACACAGTAGGCTCTTAATAAAAGTATTGAATAAATGAATTAGGGTAATTACTCAAACAATAATGTGAACTGGGAGAAAATAGAAGAAGGTGGACTATACACCAAAGAAGCTAGCAAGGAAGAATAGAATTGAGTAGTTTCATGGATGAACCTATTCCCAGAGAAACTGGTACCTCTAAACTGCAAAGACAACCATTTAAAAAGTGAGCAGTCCATATCCCATGATTAAGCAAGAGGGCATTATGTTTCTCACACCACAATTACCACTGTTAACAAGGTTTTATTTTAAGGAAGCCTTGACTACAAATCTACTGTCCCATACTTTACCATCAGGCATTACTGGTCCACTTCCATTAATAATTTGTCAGCTGCAGCAGGTTCAGACATGCCTTGTCTTCTCCCTTTGTATCCTAGAGTGCTACTGATGCTTTTCCAAATGAGCCTCTTTGCAAACCCCACAGACTCGGGGTCCTATCTGCTCCTTACCAGTGCTCTGCCAGAAATGTCACTAAAGAGAATGGTAAAAGTAACACAAAACAGATCCCGCCTTGTTTTCAGATCCTAGCTGGTTGTTTAACCATCAGTTCTCCCAAAGATGCAAACTTCTTGGAGAGGCAGTAAAGGGGAAGATTTGTTATTCAAACACATACTAGCTGCATGTTCTTGGCAAGCCAGTTACCATCACTAGGCTTCAGTTTCCCTTCTCTGTAAAATAGGGGTAATCAGAGTATCTGTCTCAATGTGATTTTGAGAGAATTCAAAGAGCTAATGCATGAATGGCCATTAGCATACTGCAGGACATGCAGAACGCATCAATAAATGGGGGTTGTTTTTCCTATGAAAAGGATAATGATGACGATGATTTTTAAACACTAGACTAGAACTCCTGGAGGGCAGCAGTAGTGCTTGCTTGGTTTCTGGTAGGATTCAAATGTAATTTATTTATTTATTTTTACACTTTTAACTATTGACAAATCAAATGTAATTTTAAAACATGGAAAGGGAGACAACAGCGTCCTCATTTCGCTGTCTCACAAGCCCTCCCCATCAAATCAATCTCTACATGGCTGCCATTTGCCTAAACTAGGGTAGGGAAGCAGGACTGGGATCATAACTAGATAGCAGAACCAAAAGGTGAGAACCACCTAGCAGCCTCCAGGGCAATCCAGATTTGCTTTACTATGCTCAAGCTTATGCCCCAGAGTGGCAAAGACGGAGTAAACAGAGCTCCTACCCAGAGCGCTTGGTTGTGGTAACCCGCGTTCAGAAATGGCCAGTGCACACCCTGGGGGCGCCTCCCTCTCTAGCGCCGTGAGAGGAAATAGAAAAACGGCCCAGTTTTATCTCGAGGAGGGGATTCTCCGGCTCTGGCCCGAGTTTTATTCACCAGGGATCCCCTAGCCTCACCCCCGAGCCCTGCGCCACTTTCCCAGGTCCTCTGATAAGGTTCCATGCCGAGGGCCCAGCCGGCGGTGCTAGCATCTAAGCATCGCCTCCGCGCCCGACGCTCCCTGCCCCCGGGCTCCCGCATCCCCGCCCCGGAGCCTTTCCCGAGGCTCGAGAGCCGGGGGCCCAGCCAGGGACCGCCCTCAGCGCCTCAAGACGCCAATTCTGTCTCACCAGGCTGCCTCTCAGTTCGTAGCCGCTGAGGGTCGAGCCCCCTCCTCATGCACACACCTGATTCCCCACGGCGCCGTGAGCTTTTCTCCCCTCGCCACAGGCCTTGTCAGAAAGCAAAAGGCTCAACTGGTACCGACAGAAAGCAGCTCGATCCGCCGCCGCCTTCTCCTCCTCCCCGCCATATTACGGGTCTCGGGCGGCAACGCGGGCTCCTGGCAACCGCCGCCGCCGCCGCTGCCGCCGCCTCCCGGACTCCGCCTCTCAGGGCCGGCACTTCCGGTGGTTGCTTCCTGGGCAGCGGGAACGGTTGGGCCTCCAGAAAACTACAATCCCCGAGGTGCATTGCGCACCCTGACGGACGGGGTAGCACTCACGGTGAGCATGCTGCACGCCGGGAAACGTAGTCTTCTCTGCAAGCTAACGCCTCTTTTATATTTTAGTTTTTTATTTATTTGTTTGTTTTAATAGAAACCCTCCTCAGGGTCTGAAGCCCCGTAAAAGTGTTCCTTGAAGTTGCCATTTTTTGTTTATCTATGTACAAATAACGTCTTGCTGTGTGGTCACTGGAAAACAGCTTTCATCAAAATTTTTTCTCTGTAGATAAAAAATTGCTGAATCTTAGATGCCAACTAGAAGCCTTAAGACATCTATAACCTTTTGCAAATCACTGGGAAAAGATAACAGGGAAAGCCCTGAATCATTTGCCAAAGTTTTCTATCTAACATCTTACCAGCTTTCCAAAATATGATTTAGTGACCTCTGTCCATTCCCTAACTCAGCTTTACCTTCTAGCTCTCGTAGGAACCTTCCTTCCGGTGCTTATTTTGCATATGTAAAATGGAGGTTTTAAAAGTGCCTATCACAAGGGTGGTTATGCACAACTGAGATAACTCCTGGTAGGAGGAGTTATCTCCTGGTAGGAGCAGTTATCTCCTTTAGCAGGAGAAGTAGTAGTAGTGGAAAGGTCACAAGCCACTAGGGAAGCTTGACGTCAGTCCTGACCCTGCCATTAACTGCTGACTTCTATGAAAAGAGGGAATCTTTAGAACCCCTTCAGTTTTATAATCCGATTGTGCCTCCTTTGCGAGGCTCTTTCATTCCCTCAGAATCTGAAGAATCCTTCTAAAGTCCATTGAAATCAGTCTCCTGAGATAATACCCCCTTACTAAAGCTGTTGTGAGAAAAATAAGCATATGAAGTGTTTGCTGACACAGTACCTGGGACATGGTATGCAGTCTGTAAATGGTAGCTATACTTGCTAACACTATTATTTCCCCCCCACGAGCATGTGAGTCCCACAAGAGTAAAGACCCTGCGGGTCCTTTTCACTGCTGTGTCCGGAGCACTTGAAATGGTGATGGGCACACCTTGAACTGAATTTTTTTTTTTTTTTTTTGGACCGAGTCTCACTCTGTTGCCCTGATTAGAGTGCCATGGCGTCAGCCTAGCTCACAGCAACCTCAAACTCCTGGGCTCAAGCAATCCTCCTGCCTTAGCCTCCCGAGTAGCTGGGACTACAGGCATGCGCCACCATGCCGGGCTAATTTTTTCTATATATTTTTAGTTGGCCAATTCATTTCTTTCTATTTTTAGTAGAGACGTGGTCTTACTCTTGCTCAGGCTGGTTTCGAACTCCTGACCTTGAGCGATCCTCCCGCCTCGGCCTCCCAGAGTGCTAAGATTACCGGCATGAGCCACCCGCCCAGCTCAGAATTAAATTAAATTAAATAAATAGTCTAAGTATCTTGCCCCTTCAAAGTTCCCTGGACTTCAGTTTCCACAAGGGCAGATAAAGAAGTCACTAAAATCTCTTCCAGACCTACAGCTGTAGGACGGTTCTTTTCCCTGCCCTTCTCGCCTGCAGAGAACGCCCAGGCGAAGGTCCGGACCCCTGACAAACCAAAGGCACCTTAGAACTGGAGCTTGGATGGACCTGGCGCCCGGGCCTGTCCCCGTTGCCATGGAGAGGCCCCGCCCCCAGCTCTGTCTATCCCGGGCCCTGATTGGCTGGACAGCCGGGTCTCCTCTGAATGTGTCCGCCGCCGCCATTGTGCGGCGCTAGTTCCCTCAGAGGGTACCAGCTGTGGCCAGTGCCTCGAGCGCTTCCCCTCGCTTCTCGCTCTCCTGTGCTGGGAGCCCGGCAGGCCCGGGACTCCTGTCCGTGCCGGTGCGGGCGCCGGCATGTGGCTGTGGGAGTACCAGGGGGGCCTCTTGGGCCCCTTCTCCTTCCTGCTGGTGCTGCTGCTGCTGCTGACGCGCAGCCCCTTCAATGCCTGTGTCCTCACAGGCAGCCTCTTCATCCTGCTGCGCTTCTTCAGCTTTGAGCCGGTGCCCTCCTGCAGGGCCCTGGAGGTGCTCAAACCCCGGGACCGCGTTTCAGCCATCGCCCATCGCGGCGGCAGTCACGACGCCCCCGAGAACACGCTGGCGGCCATTCGGCAGGTGAGCCCCCCACGCCTCGCGCCCCTAGGTCCTGCAGAGAGCTCGGACTTCTGCTCGTCCGTCCGAAGGTTCCCTGGCCTCCCCCTGACAGCCTTCCCAGTTCCTCACTGGTCCGCAGGAAATGCGTTCCGGTGGCCCTTGATCCCTCACGATGTCTAGAAATCTCCCGACTTGAGGTGTTTCTAGACTACAGCAAATATTTATGTAGTTGCTACGTGCTGGATACTGAGGTTACAGCCAGGAAAAAGGACCAAAGGGTCCCTGCTTTACAGAGCTTACACTGGAGTGGGGGAGACAGGCCTTAAACAAGTAAACGCATCAGTATTGCTTTAAGAGAGTGAAAAGTGCAATGAGGAAGCAGGGTTATGAGATAAAGAATGACTGGGGACGGGAGGAGTTATACAATTTTAGATGGAGTCGTCAGAGAGAAATCCTCTCTGAAGAAGTGACACTTGAATTGAAACCGGAATTTTGAGAAGGAGCCAGCCAGGGAAAAGCAAGTGGAAAGGTCCCGAGGCAGGAATGACGTTGGAGTGTTCAGGTAACAGAAGAGGCGGTATGTGGCCTGACTTCAAGGAACAGAGCAAAGGTCGGTGTGTCAATGCAGTGGACAATGGGCCGTGTCAGGTTAGGGTCTTGGTCAGTAATTGAGGTTATTATAAATGGATCACCCTTCACAGGACATTGCTTTGTCCTCTAAATTACGTGGGTCATCTCCTTATCACCTTTTCCCCCCAAACACACACATTGACACTCACACAACCGTGGCAGCTGGACTCATGATAAATTATTCCTCCCTTTTTCACAAGACACTCCTGAGACTCTTGATAACCACCCAGTTCTTGGCAGTCTCCTGATTAGGCACTTTTGCATCCGTATAAATATATCTGATCCCTCATTTCTTTGAGACATTATTTTAACATTCATTGAGTGGGTGGGAAAACCATGACTCAAACACACACAGCTCCTTCTAGAATTTAGCCTGCTGATTCCAAGCCCCAGTACTCTTTGTCATAGATTAGAATATGGTCTAGGATGTAAAAACTCGGACTACCTGCCCTTTCTTTGTCAGACTTTATTTTTATTTATTTTTAATATTTTTTTAATAATTATATTCTTTTTTCTTCTTGAAGTTATGTATTCTTTCTGTCATTATATATGTTATTATTCTATACACATTTGCTGAATGTCAGACTTTATTTTTTAATGAGCAAGTTACTCAAGCTCCCTATGCCCCAGTCAGGGTCATGACTATGGTTTGCTGCAAGCAAGGCACCTCTCTTCACCCTAGTCTCAACTCTGACCTCAGTTTCACCATCTGTAAAATGGAAATAATAATAGTATCTACCAAATAGGTTGTGAGGATTCAGTGATCTAATCCACATAAAGTAAAACCTGGTAAGACCTACACAGATGTAAACTATGTATGCCAAGAATCCTAAGATGGCTTGATTCTTTAAAATTCAAGGTAAAATAATTAAGTCTAAAGAAGGAAGAAGGTCAGGAGGGCAACCTTTGAGTTAATGGAGAGCACTTGACTTTTTGTGAACAACCAGGTTAAACATCTCTTATGCTTCTCTCCATTTGGTTCTTTTTACACTTTGTGATGGAAGGGAAACAGTGAAAGCAGCTTTTCTAGCCTCCTATTTAAACCTAAGTCTAAAGATATTGAAGAATGTATTTTGCATTCTTAAACTCAGAGAGGTCTGATGAAGTAACATATATATGTTAGTATTACATTTTATTTAGTATTAGATAGTATTGTCATGTAAAGAAGGCTGATAATTACTATAGAAAAAAGCACATAATTGTCATTGCTTCCATTTCAGCTTAGCTTTATATAAATTGCCTTAAAGTATATAGCTCACTGCTAATCGAGTACAGAAGGTATTCATAGGTGTTTATTGATGAATGTGGTGGTTTGACTAGGAGCATGTTTGACTGAAGATAAATCATAGTTAATGAATGAGGAGCATATATGTGAAATACACATACACATACAGTATTTCATATTCTGTTGTGTTGCAAGGGAATCGTAGCTAAATTCTATCCAAGTCTTGTGTGTTTTAAGTTGAGCATGTCTTTATGTAATGTAATAATGATAGTAAACATTGTGCCAAATTAATTCCTGGTCTTTTTGTTTTTGTTTTTGTTTATGTTTTACACATACTTAATTCCTGGTCTTAAGAGGAAATGAGATGTGGTAATAAAGCTTGTTAGAATATAAGGTCATTATCAATGAACTTTTTAGCCATAACAGTATTTAGCTGCTGAATATACACTGCAGAAGACAAGGCTGTGGCTTCTCTCTTGACTTCAAAAGAAACACAGTAATCCTCTATATCTGTGGGTTCCCATTCTGCAGATTCAACCCAAATTGAAAATATTTGGGGGAAAAAAACAGCAAAAAATAATACAATAGTAAAATACAATACAAACAAAAACCAATACATTTTAAAACTATTTACATAGCATTTACATCATATTAATTATAAGTTAATCTAGAGATGATTTAAAGTACAAGTCCTCAGTTAATGTCATGGATAGATTCTTGAAAACTTCAATTTTTAGGTGAAACAACATAAAATGAAACTAACTTTTTACCTCATCAAAGTTATTACAAAACAACATTAAATGAAACCAGGTTGTTCCAGGATCTGCTGTACATCCTTTTGCTGAAAGTCACAGTTTCTAAGAACCTATCAATGATGTTAAGTGAGGACTGTATACAGAAGGATGTTTGATGGTTATATGCAAATACTATACTATTTTATATAAGGGACTCGAGCATCAGCTAATTTTGGTATACATGGGGGTCCTGAAACTATCCCCTGTGGATACCAAGGGAAAACTGTACATAGTTTCTTTCCATCAAAGTTCATTTTTTTGTATTATCCTCTTCTTCATCTCTTTGCATGTTTGCCGCTCATAACTCATATTCTTAAACATTTTACTATGTAAAAAAAAATCAAGGAAGACGTTCTGATAGTGGTAGAATTTCTGGTAGATTATAAACTTATATGTAGAAGGAAAACTTGGCAAATGTGAAATAAATGTGCTTCAAAAACAGATATACTATTATAAACAGTGACAAAGGAATGAAATTACACCCACAGTACATTTACCACACAGGGGCCAGAGTGTAGCTTTAAAAGTATAAATTAGATTATATCCTGCCATTGTTTAAAACTGTCCAGTGATTTCCTGTTGCAATTAGATAAAATCAAAGCACCTTTGTATTTTGTACTTTTCTCCAAAGATCCTGCTCTCTCTGTTCCAACCACCCTCAGTATTTGTTAGAATGCTTTTGGCTTCATGTAATAGAAAGTCCAACTTCAAATATCTCAGACAGTAAGGGGACTTATTATCTCATGTAACAAGAAAGGTTTGTTGGTCGGGGGAAGTATGGCCTCCAGGATGGTTAATCCAGCTGTTCAATTTGTGATCATGAACAACCCAGATTCTGTTGATCTATCATGTTTGCTAACCCTCCTTGTAGTTTTCAGGTGTCCAGTGCAGCCCCAAGCATCACATTCTTAAAAACCAGCATCCAATCTCAAGGAAAGATTCCACTCCCTCTTTCTTGTGTCTTTCCCAGAAGCCCACCTCCCTTTTGGGTTGGGAATAATCCACTTTGTCACTCTAGCACAGGAAAAAGCTGAACACTGGGGCAAGAACCGGTCTCTGCCAGCAGGGAGAAAAAGAGAAATAGATTTGGGTAGGTAATCAACACTTTCTGCCACCTGGATGGCTCCCTTCTATGTTGTGGCCTTGGTATTACACTTGCCATTTCTTCTGCTTGGCAAACTCTTCTCCCAGATCTTTGCACAGTTAGCTCCCTCTTACTGTTAAGGTCTCAGCTAGCTCAAATTTCATATTCTCAGAGAGGGCTCCCCTGGCTGCCGTGGCTACCTTAACCTTCACATTACTCTCTATTTTCTTCTTCAAAATATGAAAAATATTTATAGTTATTATGATTTATGTATTACATGTTTGTAATCTGTTTCTCCCTACTAAAATGTAAGATCCATGATCCTTTTCTCTCTTGTTCACCACTATCTCACTGCTCAGAACAGTGCCTGATACATAACAGGCACTCAGTAAATATTTGTTGAAAGTACTGTGAAGTAAAAATAGTCGGTAATTCCATTGAGAAAAGGTACTCAACATTATTAGCTATCAAAGAAGTACAAATTAAAAACACAATGAAATACCACTTCATAACCACTAGGATGGCTATAAGCAAAAAGAAAAAATAACAAGTGTTGGCAAGGATGTAGAAAAATTGAAACTCTGCATTGAGCAAGTCTGTTGGCTTCATTTTTCCAACAGCATGTGCTCATTTCTTATCTATATGTCACATTTTGGTAATTCTTGCAATATTTCAAACTTTTTCATTAGTATTGTATCTGTTATGGTGATCTGTGATCAGTGGTTTTTTGATGTTAGTATTATAATTGTGTGGGGGTGCCATGAATCCTGCCCATATAAAATAATGAACTTGGCCAGGCCTGGCGGCTCACGCCTGAAATCCTAGCACTCTGGGAGGCCAACGCGGGCAGATCACTCAAGGTCAGAAGTCCGAAACCAGTCTGAGCAAGTTGAGACCCTGTCTCTACTAAAAATAGAAAGAAATTAATTGGCCAACTAAAAATATATAGAAAAAATTATCCGGGTATGGTGGCACGTGCCTGTAGTCCTACCTATTTGGGAGGCTGAGGAAAAGGATTGCTTAAGCCCAGGAGTTCGAGGTTGCTGTGAGCTAGGCTGATGCCACAGTACTCTAGCCCAGGCAACAGAGTGAGACTGTGTCTCAAAAAAAAAAAAAAAATAGTGAACTTAAGAATCCTTGTGTGCGTTCTGATGGCTCCACTGACCAGCCATTCTGTCTCTTTCTTTCTACTCCCTCAGGCCTCTTTATTCCCTGAGATGCAATAATATTGAAATTAGGCCAGTTAATAACCCTATAGTGGCCTCTAAGTGTTCAAGTGAGAGGAAAAGTAGCACATATCTCACTTTAAATAAAAAGCTAGAAATAATTAAGCTTTGTGAAGAAGGCATGTCTAAGGCCGAGATAGGATGAAAGCTAGTTAGCCAAGTTGTAAATTGGGAAAAGTTCTTGAAAGAAATTAAAAGTGCTATTCCAGTGAACACACGAAGGCTGCTTGCTTTCCTCATTGCTGATATGGAGAAAGTTTTAGTGGTCTGGATAGAAGATCAAACCAGCCACAATATTCCCTTAAGCCAAAGCCTAAGCCAGAGTAAGGCCCTAACTCTCTTCAGTTCTATGAAAACTAAGAGAGGTGAGGAACTGCAGAAGAAAAGTTTGAAGCAAATAGAGACTGGTTCATAAAGCTTAAGGAAAGAAGTGGTCTCCATAACGTAAAAGTGCAGGGTGAAGCAGCAGTGCTGATGTAGAAGCTGCAGCAAGTTATCCAGAAGATCTAGCTAAGATCATTGGTGAAGGTGGCTACACTAAACAGATTTTCATTGTTCAGCAGCCGTCAACATTGAGGCAAGACCCTTCACCAGCAAAAAGATCATGACTCACTGAAGGGTCAGATGATCGTTAGCATTTTTTAGCAATAAAGTATTTTTTAATTAAGGTATATACATTGTTTTTTAGACATAATGTTATTGCACTCTCACTAGACTACAGTATAGTGTAAACATACCTTTTATATGCACTGGGAAACCAAAAGATTTGTGTGACTTCCTTTGTTGCAATATCCACTTCATTATGGTGGTCTGGAACTGAACCTGCAATATCTCTGAAGTATGCCTATATATATTAATGTGTGAATTAGAAACAGAGGTTTATCTTTTTGTCTCTATAACTGGAATAACGTAGAAGTATTGGTAAAGAAAGTTAAATGCAGTCATTAGAAGATCTGGCCTAAGAAACTCTAATATAGTGTTTCTTTTATAGAGCTTTTGTTTTGTCTTTTTTTTTTTTGGCCTCATTAAACTACTCAGAAAAAACAAATACATGAAATATTCATTTGTTTTGGTATTCTTGCTAAAATAAACCATTTTTACTTTTTGTGTTGTAGTCAAATAAAGATAGCCTCAACAAATAAAATATAATTGAACCTAATTATAGTGTCAGCAATAAGGAATTAGGACATTTGTGTTAAAGTGAGAAAGATGTACTATCTATACTGAAAATGTGGTTTTGTTTTACGTTATATATAACCCATGTTGATGTACCAGTATATTATTCTGTCTTTAATTTATAAAAGGTATATCTTTTAAAATCTTTTGACCAGTATAGATTAGTATAATGACTTTTCCCCTAGGCTTGTCAAATCACAATAGCTTATATGTATAGAGTGCCAACTCTGAGCCAGACACCAAGCTTGGGAATCTACATGCATTATTTTTAAATCCTCACAACAACTCTTGGGATCATTATAGAAATATCATCTTAAAAATAATGAAACTAAGGTTAGAGTGGATAAGTAACTTGACTAGATGACATAGCCAGTTAGTGATAGAATTGGGATTGGGGGGGGCAGGGAGGATATCTAGGTCATATATGTGAAAATCAAACTGTGAAGCTTAGAAGAAAATATAGTGGATCTTTATCACATGGGAGTAGGAAAGAATTTAAATAAGGTAGAAAAATCTCTACCCATAAAGGGCATTGTTGATAAATTTGACTAAAAAATATATTAATAAAGGACATGGTTAATAACAATGGCTAACATTTATTGAATGCTTACTATGCAGTAGCATAGTGTTATTTGTTGTTTGTGGGTACTTAAGTGTGTTGTGAATATATAAATACCTATAAGGAAGTAATATGGGAATGATAAACACCAACTTTAAGATGGTAATTACTTTGGGATAGGAGAGAAGAGAATGAATGGGAAAATTTTGGCTCTATCTGTAGTATTGATAGTAAAATCATAGTGGTTAAGAATGCAACTTGTACCACATCCTAGCTTGTGTAACCCTGGGCAAGTCTCTTAATCTTTCTTTGTCTCAGTCTCTTGTCTGTAAAATGAGCATATTCATAGTTCCTGCCGCAGGGTTGTGAGGATCAAATGAGTTAAAACATTTAAAGCACTTAGAATAGTGTCTGGCTAATAGAAAAGTATCAATAAATAATAGCTTTTTTTTTTCTTTTTAGAACAGAAAGAGATTGAGGCAAATAGGACAAAACATTAACATCTTCTAAGTCTTTTTTTTTTTTATTCTATACTATGTATGTTTGCAATGAACCATTACTTAAAAAAAATTTTTAATTAAAAATCTTGATCATATTGAGCATTTGACATCTTCACTGTGATGAGAAAACCAAGGAAGCAAACGTTAGATAGTGTGTCTCCAGAGGATCATTGCTTATAAAATTTAATGTTCAAATTCTTTTAGAGAATTAGAACTTTAGATAAGTTCTAAAGTTTAGATAAAGTTCTAAACTTTAGATAAAGTTCTAATTAGAACTTTAGATAAGTTCTAATATGTTGGTCACATAAACAAAATGTGTTCCCTAGAAGCAGGCTTGGTGTTTCTGTGATAGAGGGTGGAGTTAAACCAACAAAAACCTGACTCCATCTTGTTTATGCCAAAGTAGTGAAATATACGACTAATCAACAAACACAGGGAAAGTAGCAGAGCTACTGTACCAATAGATAGTGTAGGTAAACAGTGGAATTTGTCTATATATGTGTAAGCCATTGATGACCGGTATATTAATAAAGCATCCGGAGAAAACTTAAGTTCCTGAACTCTCCCTGTCTGCCACTGTTAGAGTGAGAAGGATAGGGAAATTGAAGTTTTTAAGGAATCTGTCAGTTAAGAGTTGAAGTAAGGCTGACATCCATGGAAAACAGAAAGAGGCCAGATTTGCTGTTTGGCTCAGCAAGGGGAAAGAATCAATAAAAACGGCTATCTACTTATCCAGCTGTGTTGGAATTCTTGAGTGGTTAGATACAAAATGATGTTTGTGGCCATTTGACAGTAATATTGTTGATGTTTTTGTTAAGGCAGCTAAGAATGGAGCAACAGGTGTGGAGTTGGACATTGAGTTTACTGCTGACGGAGTTCCTGTCTTAATGCACGATAACACAGTAGACAGGACAACCGATGGGACTGGTCGATTGTGTGATTTGACATTTGAACAAATTAGGAAGCTTAATGCTGCAGCAAATCACAGACTTAGGTAAGTAGTTTGTTGTCATTTAAACATATCTTTTAGCTTTTATTAGAGGTCACAGATAGACACTGGCACCTTCTAATTACATCTTCTGCTCCAGGAGAGTTGTTTCATTTTGTTTTGTTTTGAACCGTATACAGGTTTCCTAAGTAATGGGTAGGTACCAGTAAGAACTGAAATATGGCATTATGTTTTTAATCTTTCCAACTGACGCCAAATTTGGCCTCAGAACTATTCTTAATACTCTGTCCAGTTACTAACAAAACTGTTACTTTGTACTGTCATTTAAATTATAGAATCATGAGACTAAAAGCAATTGCTTAGCAATCTTCTTGCCTTCAGATACACCAAGAAACAAATTATACATTCTTTTAAACCTTCAAATAATAATATCACCTTTTAACCTAACCCTTTTAATTCTTCAGATCCTTGTAACAAGCTTCTGAGGAATCATAGAATTTCAGGAATAGAAAGTATCCTAGAAATCATCTAGAATAGCACTATGCAATAGAACTTTCTGTGATGATGGAAATATTCTATCTGTGCTGTCCAATATAGTAGCCACCTGTGGCTATTGAGCCCTTGAAATGTGGCCAGTGTGACTGAGGAAGTGAATTTTTAATTTAAATGAAAATTTAAAATTAAATAGCCATATGTGGCTGCCATATTGGACACTATAGTACTAGATCAATATTGCTTTTAGAGAGAGTACCAGAAAAGTTAAATGAATTACTTGAGGGCATATAACTAGTTCATAAAGAATCCAAGACTAGAATCTAGATATCCCAGTTTTTAGTTCAAAGAAACATCCACCATACCATGCTGTTTTTGGTTGCATCCAATGTCTCTGAACCCTGTAAAAGTGAAAGTTCTTTCAGATGTCTAATTTAAGCCTCTCCTGGTATAAACTCATATCTTCCAAAGTATGTATATCAGAGCTAGTCCTATAAGATACTCTGCAAGAAAAGTGTTATATGATCAAATAAGATCAAACATTATACTCTGGATATTCTTCTTGGGGATAAACAGTCCACATCAATCAATTCTTACCTTAACTTACCATTTCTCAAACTTGTATGACCACAGAACCCATACCCTTATCCTCACTAGTAGCTATAATCACCCTTGGAATTGGTACATCAGGTAATATATTTGAAATATGGTTATTTAAATCCTTCTCCTCTTGTCTTCTTTGTAATACTAGAAAGTGTATGCTCACTGTCATTCAAGTAATATCAGTTATCTAGACAGTGATCGATACTCCTTGAATATTGAGTATTTGACCCAGTAATTAAGTTATCATCTTCCCTAAAAGATGTTTCAGACCTTATTTTCCTAGAATATGAAAAAAATTAAAGTCAGCCAAAGGAAATCATACTCCAGGCTGGAAAGAATATTGACAACACTTGAAAATTACGAGTCCAGGCTGCTCTTGAGTGTCATCAGATATTTCATTGCTCTGTTGTATGCAAGGCTGGCTTTAATATTATGATGACATTGCAGCTAATAAGATTCCAGGCTCAAAGTTAACACTTAAAGCAAAAAATGCGTAGGGTCATAAGAATGGAAAAATAAGTACCACATGTACTCACCATTAAATTGGTTTTAATAGATCAACACCTAAGTGCAGATACAGGAATAACATTCATCAGGTGTCGGGCAGATGGGAGGGGGGTGGAGGGGATGTGTACATGCACACATAATGAGTGGGATGTACACCTTCTGGGGGATGGACACACTTGAAGCTCTGACTCGGGGCGGGGGCAAGGGCAATATACATAACCTAAACATTTGTACCCCCATAATATGCTGAAATAAAAAAAATTAAAATAAAAAAAAACACTTAAAAAAATGTGTGGGATCACCATCACCCTTAAAAATTTGTAAGGGCCAGGCGCAGTGGCTCATGCCCGTAATCCTAGGCACTCTGGGAGGCCGAAGCGGGCGGATCGCTCAAGGTTAGGAGTTTGAAACCAGCGTGAGCAAGAGCGAGACCCTGTCTCTACTAAAAATAGAAAGAAATTAATTGGACAACTAAAAATATTTAGAAAAAAATATTAGCCGGGCATGGTGGCGCATGCCTGTAGTCCCAGCTACTCAGGAGGCAGAGGCAGGAGGATTGCTTGAGCCCAGGAGTTTGAGGTTGCTGTGAGCTAGGCTGATGCCACGGCACTCTAGCCTGGGCAACAGAGTGAGACTCTGTCTCAAAAAAAAAAAAAGAAAGAAAAGAAAAATACCTTAAGAAGACACCATATCATAGTCAATGTACCATCTTAATTATCTTTAATACAACCAATCTTTGCTCCACAATTGGAACACCGTGTGTTTTCTTGACTGAACACCAGATAAAATAATTGGCTTATGTTTAGGGATGATGTTATAGAAAAAATAAGTACTTTCTCTAGAATTACGCCCACTCTGATGAGATGCTCATCCTAAGAGGGGGGCATGGAAACTCAGACTAGCCAAAGAAACAACAAATTCAGTCTCCCATCTTTCACTCCCGGGGAATAGATGTTAACTGGAATGGCTGGCAAAATTGCCTGTAACACTTAAATTATTCTTATTTATTTATTTTTTGAGACAGAGTCTTACTCTGTTGCCCCAGCTAGAGTGCCATGGTGTCAGCCTAGCTCACAGCAACCTCAAACTCCTGGGCTCAACCAATCCTGCCTCAGCCTCCCAAGTAGCTGGGACTACAGGCATGTGCCACCATGTCTGGCTAATTTTTTCTATGTATTTTTAGTTGGCCAATTAATTTCTCTCTATTTTTAGTAGAGACAGGGTCTTGCTCTTTTTTTTTTTTTTGAGACAAAGTCTCGCTTTGTTGCCCAGGCTAGAGTGAGTGCCATGGCATCAGCCTAGCTCACAGCAACCTCAAACTCCTGGGCTCAAGCAATCCTGCTGCCTCAGCCTCCCAAGTAGCTGGGATTACAGACATGTGCCACCATGCCTGGCTAATTTTTTCTATATATATTAGTTAGCCAATTAATTTCTTTCTATTTATAGTAGAGACAGGGTCTCACTCTTGCTCAGGCTGGTTTCGAACTCCTGACCTCGAATGATCCACTCGCCTTAGCCTCCCAGAGTGCTAGGATTACAGGCGTGAGCCACCGTGCCCAGCCTCAAAAAATTTTTAAAAAATCAAAATGATATGAAATATCTTCTCAGACCACAATGGAATAAAACTAGAAATCAATAACAAGAGGAACTTTGGAAACTGTGCAAATACATGAAAACTAAGCAATATGCTCCTGAATGACCATTGGGTCAATGGAGAATTTAAGAAGGAAATTAAAAAATTCCTTGAAAATGGAAACACAACATACCAAAACTTATGGGATACAGTAACAGTAATGCTAAGAGGAAAGTGTATAGCAATAAATACCTCTATCAAAAGAGTAGAAAGATTTCAAATAAACAACCCAATAATGCACCTCAAGGAAATAGAAAAGCAAAAGCAAACCAAACCCAAATTAGTAGAAGGAAAGAAATAATAAAAATCAGAACAGAACTAAATGAAATAGAGACTAAACAAAACAAAACAATACAAAAAGATCAATGAAACAAAAGTTGGTTTTTTGAAAAGATAAACAAAATCGATAAACTGCTAGCTAGATTAACCAAAAAAAGAAAAGAGAGAAAACCCAAATAAAATTAGAAATGAAAAAGGAGACATTATAACTGATACCACAGAAATACAAAAGATAGTCAAAGACTATTATGAACAACTATATGCTAACAAATTGGAAAACAGAGGAAATGGATAAATTCCTGGACACACATACAAGCTACCAAGATAGAATTAGGAAGAAATAGAACAGACCAGTAATGAGTAACAAGATTGAATCAGCAGTAAGTTTCTCAGCAAAGAAAAGCCCAGGACTATATGGCTTTACTGCTGAATTCTACCCAACTTGTGAAGAACTAATACTAATCTTCCTCAGACTATTGCAAAGGGAGGGAATTCTTTCACTTATTCTATGAGGCCATAATTACTCTGATACCAAAATAAGACAAAGACACAGCAAAAATGAGAACTGCAGGGCAATATCCCTGATGAACACAGATGCAAAAATCCTTGCCAAAATACTAGCAAACTGAATCCAACACATCAAAAAGATGATACACCTTGATCAAGTGGAATTTACCCCAAGGATGCAAGGATGTTTCAACATACGCAAATCAATAAATGTGACACAGCGTATCAACAGAATGAAAGATAAAAACCATATGATCATCTCAATAGACAGAAAAAACATTTGATAAAATTCCATAACTATTCATGATAAAAACTCTGAACAACACAGGCATAGAAGAACATACTTAAACATAATAAAGGCTATATATGACATACCCATAGCTAACTTGTTGAATGGGAAAAGCTAAAAGCCTTTCCTTTAAGAACTAGAACAAGACAGGGATGCCCATTTTTTACCACTACTATTCAACATAGTCCTGGAAGTCTTAGCCGAGCAACCAGGCAAGAGAAAGAAATAAAAGGCATTCAAATTGGAAAAAAGGAAGTTAAAGTGTCCCTCTTTGCAAACAACATGATATTATTTATAGAAAAACCTAAAATTTCCACCAAAAAACTATTAAAACTGATAAATTCAGTAAAGTTTCAGAATACAAGATCAACATACAAAAAATTATTAGTATTTTATACACCAATAATGAACTAGCTAAAAAAGAAATCAAGAAAGCAATCCATTTACAATAGCTACCAAACAAAACTATCTATGAACAAATTTAAGTAAGGATATGAAAGACCTCTACAAGGAAAACTATAAAATGTTGATGAAAGAAATAAAGAGGACACAAATGGAAAGACATCCATGATCATGGATTAGAAGAATTAATATTGTTAAAATGACCATCCTACCCAAAGCAGTCTATATATTCAATGCAGTCCCTATCAAAATATTAATACCAATGTCATTCTTCATAGAAATAGAAAAAACAATCCCAAAATTTGTATGGAACCACAGAAAAGTCTGAATAGCTAAAGCAATACTGAGCAAAAGAACAAAGATGGATGCTTCACACTACCTGACTTCCAAATATACTACAAAGTTACAGGAACCAAAACAGTGTGGTATTGGCGTAAAAACAAACACATAGACCAATGGAACAGAATAGAGAACCAAGAAATAAATCCATGTATTTATAGCCAACTGATTTTTGGCAAAGGCGCCAAGAACATACATGAGGAAAAGGGCATTCTCTTCAATAAATGGTTCTGGGGAAACTAGATATCCATATGCAGAAGATCTAAACTGGACTTCTGTCTCTCACCATATACAAAATCAACTCAAAATGGATTTTAAAGACTTAAATGTAAGAACTGAAACTATAAAACTACTGGAAGAGAACATTGGGGAAACACTCCAGTGGTCTAGGCAAAGATTTTTTGGCTAAGATCTCAAAAGCACAGGCAAAAAAAACAAAAATAGAGTAATGGGACTATATTAAACTAAAAAGCTTCTACACAGCAAAGGAAATAATCAAGAGAGTGAATAGACAACCTCTTGAAACATTTGCAAACTGTTAGCTGACAAGGGACTAATACCCAGAATATGCAAGGAACTCAAAAGAAAAACAATCTCATTAAAAAATGGGCAAAGGTCACCAGCAAATTGGTATTAACGGATCAACACCTAAATGGACATACAGGAATAATATTTATCGGGTGTCGGGCAGGTGGGAGGGGAGAGGAGAGGATGGGTATATACAAACATAATGTGTGAGATGTGCAACGTTTGGGGGATGGTCACGCATGAAGCTCTGACTCGAGGTGGAAGGGGGGACATGGGCAATATATGTGACCTTAATATTTGCACCCCTATAATATGCTGAAATAATAAAATAAATAAAACAAAAAAAATGGGCAAAGGGATGGGGGAGTGTCTGCCCATATGCAGAGGGCTCACATGGGGATGTGTCAGCCCGTGCACAGAGGGCTTGCATGGGGGGTTTGGGCCCGAGCGCAGACGGCTCACGTGGTTGGTTTGGGCCCGTGCACAGAGGGCTTGCATGGGGGGTTTGGGCCCGCGTGCAGAGGGCTCACGTGGGGGGTTTGGGCCTGTGAACAGAAGGCTCACGTGGGGGGTTTAAGCCCATGTGCTGAGGGCTCACGAGGGCGTTTGGGCTCCTGTGCAGAGGGCTCACGTGTGGTGTTTGGGCCTGTTTGCAAAGGCCTCACGTGGGGGGTTTGGGCCCGTGTGCAGAGGGCTCACGTGAGAGGTTTCAGCCCGTGAGAGGAGGGCTCACGTGAGGGGTTTCGGCCCGTGTGCAGAGGGCTCACGTGGGGGGTTTCGGCCCGTGTGCAGAGGGCTTTCATGGGCGGTTTGGGCCCATGCACAGAGGGCTCACGTGGGGGGGGGAGCGTGCGCAGAGGGCTTTCATGGGCGGTTTGGGCCCGTGTGCAGAGGGCTCACGTGAGAGGTTTCGGCCCGTGCGCAGAAGGCTCACGTGGCGGGTTTCGGCCCGTGTGCAGAGGGCTCACGTGGCGGGTTTCGGCCCGTGTGCAGAGGGCTCACGTGGCAGGTTTCGGGCCCGTGTGCAGAGGGCGCACGTGAGGGGTTTAGGCCCGTGTGCAGAGGGCGCACGTGAGGGGTTTGGGCCTGTGCGCAGAGGGCTCACGTGAGGGGTTTCGGCCCGTGCGCAGAGGGCTCACGTGGCGGGTTTCGGCCCGTGTGCAGAGGGCTCACGTGAGGGGTTTGGGCTCGTGCGCAGAGGGCTCACGTGGCGGGTTTCGGCCCGTGCGCAGAGGGCTCACGTGGCGGGTTTCGGCCCGTGTGCAGAGGGCTCACGTGAGGGGTTTGGGCTCGTGCGCAGAGGGCTCACGTGGCGGGTTTTCGGCCCGTGTGCAGAGGGCTCACGTGAGGGGTTTGGGCTCGTGCCCAGAGGGCTCACGTGGCGGGTTTTCGGCCCGTGTGCAGAGGGCTCACGTGAGGGGTTTCGGCCCGTGCTCAGAGGGCTCACGTGTCGGGTTTCGGCCCGTGCGCAGAGGGCTCACGTGGGGGGTTTCGGCCCGTGCGCAGAGGGCTCACGTGGGGGATTTGGGCCCGTGTGCAGAGGGCTCACATGGGCAGTTTGGGCCTGTGTGCAGAGGGCTCATGTGGAGGGTTTCGGCTGGTGCCCAGAGGGCTCACGTGGGGGGGGTTCAGCCCATGCGCAGAGAGCTCACGTGGGAGGTTTGGGCCTGTGCGCAGAGGGCTCACTTGGGGGATTTGGGCCCGTGTGCAGAAGGATCACGTGAGGGGTTTCGGCCTGTGTGCAGAGGGCTCACGTGGGAGGTTTGGGCCCGTGTGCAGAGGGCTCACGTGGGGGGTTTCGCCCGTGCGCAGAGGCCTCACGTGGCGGGTTTCCGCCCGTGCGCAGAGGGCTCACATGGGCAGTTTGGGCCTGTGTGCAGAGGGCTCACGTGGGGGGTTTCGGCCCCACAGAGGCCTCACATGGCGGGTTTCAGCCCTTGGGCAGAGGGCTCAGGTGGGGGATTTGGGCCCCTGCGCAGAGGGCTCACATGGGCAGTTTGGGCCCGTGTGCAGAGGGCTCACGTGGGAGGTTTGGGCCCGTGTGCAGAGGGCTCACGTGGGAAGTTTGGGCCCATGTGCAGAGGGCTCACGTGAGGGGTTTGGGCTCGTGGGCAGAGGCCTCACGTGGCGGGTTTCGGCCTGTGCGGGAGGGCCCACGCGGAGATTTGGGCTCGTCCTCGAGGGCCCTCGTGGGGGGTTTCGGCCGTGTGCAGAGGGCTCACGTGGGGGTTTTCGGCCAGGTGTTCAGAGGCCTCACCTGGGATTGTTGGCTCATAAATTTAAAAAAGTAAATATATATATTAAGAAAAAGAATGGGCAAAGTATTTGAATCGACATTTCTCAAAAGAAAACATTCAAATGGCCAGTAGATATATGAAAAAATGCTCAAATTAATCATTAGGGAAACAAATCAAAACCACAATGAGATACTGTCTTACTCAAAATGACTATTATAAGACAGACAAAAAATAGCAAATGCTGGCAAGGATGCAGAGAAAAGGGAACTCTCATACACTGTTGGTGGGAATGTAAATTAGTACAGCCATTATGAGAAAGAGTATGGAATTTTCTCAAAAAACTAAAAATAGAACTACTACACAATCCAGCAATCCTACTACTAGGTATTTATCCAAAGAAAAAGAAATCAATATACAAAGGGATACCTGCACCCCTGTGTTTATTGTAGTACTATTCACAATAGCCAAGATATGAAATCAACCTAAGTATTCATCAGTGGATGGATGGAGAAAGAAAATGTGGTATATATACGCAATGGAATACTATTCAGCAATTAAAAATGAAATCCTGTCATTTACAGCAACATGGATGGAACTGGAGGTCATTGTGTTAAGTGAAATAAGCCAGGCACAGAAAGACATATATTCCATGTTCTCATTCATATGTGGGAACTAAAATAGTTGATTTCCTGGAGAGAGAGAGAGTAGAATGATAGTTACTAGAGGAGGGGAAGAGTATGGGGGGAATGAAAAGAGGTTGGTTAATGGGTACAAACGTACAGTTAGATAAAAGGAATAGGTTCTTACATAGTAGGGTGACTATAGTTAACAACATATTATATATTTCAAAAAAGCTAGAAGGCGGCCGGGCGTGGTGGCTCACGCCTGTAATCCTAGCACTCTGGGAGGCTGAGGTGGGCGGATTGCTCGAGGTCAGGAGTTCGAAACTAGCCTAAGCAAGGGTGAGACCTCGTCTCTACTATAAATAGAAAGAAATTAATTGGCCAACTAATATATAGAAAAAATTAGCCGGGCATGGTGGCACATGCCTGTAGTCCCAGCTACTCGGGAGGCTGAGGCAAAAGGATTGCTTGAGCCCAGGAGTTTGAGGTTGCTGTGAGCTAGGCTGACGCCACGGCACTCACTCTAGCCTGGGCAACAAAAAAAAAAAAAAAAAAAAAAAAAAGCTAGAAGAGAATATTCAAAATGTTCCCATCACAAAGAAATGACAAATGTTCAAGGTGATAGATATACTAAATACCATGATTTGACACATTGCATGCATGTATCAAAATATCACATGTACCCTGTAAGTATGTATGAATATTATATATCAATAAAAAAAGTAAAAATATATCTGTAACTTAGTTCAAGGACCTATAGTAAATTATCCGTGGACTCTGGTATGGTTGAAGAAAAGAAGTTGGGGAAAATGCTCCTTCCTTTTGATTGGGAGACATTTGTAAAATGTCTGTTCTACTAAACTTTTATCTCTTTTTCCTACAATGTATTATTCCTTTTCTCTCTCTTTTAGGAATGATTTCCCTAATGAAAAGATCCCTACCCTGAGGGAAGCTGTTGCAGAGGCCCTAAACCATAACCTCACAATCTTCTTTGATGTCAAAGGCCATGCACATAAGGTACAGTTTTTACTGTGGATTTCACCTTGTTAAAAATACATCTTATTTAATTCCTAGTTGTTTCCAAAATTAACAGTATATTTTGTTATTTTTTTAAAATTATTTTTATAAATTATAATGTACTTGCTTAATGGAAGTATACAATGCAAAAATCTACATCTTTTAAGGAAACAGTAAGTTATGGAACTTTTTAACATTTTATGGAACCTTTCAACAACTAGTATCCTATTACCAGCACTAGATGAAAGAGTCTAATTTCTTTTATTTGCATAAAGCAATTGCAAATGATATTAAATAATCAGTAAACAGGCACTTCTGGAACAGACCACTCAAATAATCTGCTAAAAACAAATTCAGGAGTTGTACCCAAGACCACTTGCATCTGGTTCATAAGTTAAAGGCCTTGAATAGACAACTATGGGCTGCATTTAAAGAGGACTGTATTTAAAGCTAACAGAATATATATCTTTTATGTGAATTTATCCCCCTGTATAATTTCTATTCCTTATATATAGTTTTGTTGTTCAATGATTTTAGTAGTTACACTTTATTAGAAAATTACTTTATTTCTTCAAATGTGTATGACATTCCTAGGTATTAATAAAATAGAACATTTACTTTTATTCATAAAAACATATTGCAATAGAAATTGATGGAAAAATATGATTCAGATTACATTTGTTCTCTTGTAACCAGCTTTTCAAGCACAAATTTTTTTTCCCATTTGGGCAATTTAAGCATTTTTCCCCTAGCACTATTTATAATAGTAATGGCCATCTACTGGTTAAGAATTCTGATAGTGTCAACTTTTTTTATTAATCCCAGCATATAGTTGGCACCAGCTGCCAAAACCTGACATGTGAGCCTATTTTATTATAGTAAAATAATAAATTTTACTACTATAAAAAATAATAAATTTTAATACTATATAAAATAATAAATTTTTCAATTTTATTATAGTAAACTCTCATTTTTGAAGAAAGAAGAGAATGGTAATTTATTATTTTGGTAAACTCATAGTCGTGTCTAGGTTTCCAGTCAGTCTGCATCAGAATCATCTGGAATACCTATTTAAAAATACAAATTCCTGGGCCATACCTAGAGAATAGATTCTGAAAATGTGTAGGGTGGGGTTGAGAAACATGTATTTTTAATGAGCACCTCAGGTTTTGTTGATGATACAGCCCACGTTTGGGAACCCTGATAAGTCCTACATTTCACCCATACATAGTGAATTTTATGCTTGTTCTCTTAGAATAAGTAAAAAAGAAAAAAAAAATTTTTTTAAATCCAGCTATTTGAGTTTTCTGGGTAGGTGCTCACAGGTATTCCACCAAGACTGAGCAGAACATAGTGATCTAAGTCACCAAGATGGTAGTACAGAGTGAAACTGTTGGCAACAAAGTGGAGCTAATAGAGCACAGTAGCCAAGACCATGGGCTTGGGAGTCCAACAGACCTTGACTGAGCTCTGTCGCTTACAATAGGGTAACCTAACCTTGATAAGTTTCAGTTTCCTTGTGGGCAGAATGAGAATAATTAAGAGAAACTACCACAGTAGGGTTGTGAGAATTGAATTAATAATGTAAAGAGTTAAACACAGTGCATGTGTTAGTTCAAATAGCAAAAAAACATCTTTAGCTCTGTAGCTGTCACTCAGTTATGTTAGTGAAGAGGAGGCATGACATGAATAAATTCTATGTTCTTTTTTATTTGGGGAGAGAATGAATTTTGTTGCTTATTATATTTGGTTATGGGTGTGTGTGACATTCCAAAACTTAGCAATATTTCAAGAATTATGATGCAGTGGCATTGCATTCCACATAATAAATGGCTGGTACCTTTTTTGTTGTTGTTAGCTGCTATTGGTGTCAATTCCACTAGGGGTTATAAAATGTCAGTATTTATTTAAAGTTTATCGTGTCCTCTTCATTTATAAGCTGGACTACTACAAAAAGAAACTGTTCCTCTTGGGAAGAATTAGCAGACTTCCAATTCTTCCCAGTTCCCCACCTTGTTCCGTTGCATCTCCCTTCATGTTGGTGATGGATGATGTGTCCTCTCAGTCTCTTGGACTGAGGAAATCTACCCTCTGTAGTTCCCAGGCTGGTTGGCTCATGCTTCATCTAGGAGGGGTGGAAAGTGATAGAGTTATAGGTATAAAAGGACTTTTCATAGTGGCTAAACTAGGAAACAAAGTGGATTTGAAAATTTTGCTACAGCCTGCCATACTTTCCAAAAGTATAACAAATGGGGTAAGGCTCTCAACAAGATAATCAAGCAGCAGTACCCTAGCTTCTTCCTTGTTTGCTACTGATTTGAGTTTAATATGTAAGCCAATGGATAATGGAGTCTGCCAATACTTTCATCATCCCCATGTATTAGTGAACTTCTGTTTTATTCCATAGAGTTGTGCTTAATATATAATAGTTTGTGGCTGGGACTATCACATTTAAATAGATTTTAAATATGTAAATCTCTATTTTATAGGCTACTGACGCTCTAAAGAAAATGTATATGGAATTTCCACAACTATACAATAATAGTATTGTCTGCTCCTTCTTGCCAGATGTTATCTATAAGGTAATGTTCAGGATTTTTTTCTTGTACATATTATTAGGTTAGCTAGTAGAGATAATAACAGTGGACTATGTAAGCATAAGATAGATGCCTATTAAATTGAACTGAATCAAGGTAACAGTTAAGAGCTCCTCTTTTAAATTAACAAGAGAAATTCCAGGAGGAGGATATACTCATACCCTATTTTAAAATGCCATAATTCTATTTTAGCCCCTTCTTTTATGTTGTTTAGGTGATTCATGTTACTTTGGTAAAATTATCAGAACAAAAAAGAGTTGCGTAGTCCAGTTTCTCACTAAATAACAGCAGAACATACCTTTAGAAAAAGAAACAACTCTTAATTATGGTAAATTTAAAATATTCATAAAATAGGATAGTACAATAAACCCCCCCTTTAACCATTATCTGGCTCATTTCATTCCTCACTGATATCCCACAATGTTATTTGAAAGCAAATCTTATCATTCAATCCATAAAAATTGCATTAAGTATTTTTAAAAGTGATGCCTTTTTAAAAACATAGCCATGATGCCATTGTCCCATTTAAAAACTATTAACAAATATCCAATGTATAAATTGTCCCTTGTATCAGAAATGTTATTAATGTTTTTTTGTTTGTTTTTTTTACAAATTATTCATTGGAATTAGGACCCAAATAAGGTCTGCGTGTCACAATTTTAAATCTTAAAACCTGCAAGTTCTCTCTGTCTCTCTTTTCCTTCTTGTGTTGTATTTACTAAAGAAACCAGATTATTTGTTTTGTAGAGTTTACCCAAGTGTGGATTTTGCTGATTATGCCATGATATAGTTTAATACATTCTTCTCTTTATTTCCTACAAATTGATAGTAAGAGCTAGAGGCTTGGCTTAATAAAGGTTAGAGGTGACTATTCTTGGCAAGATAATTTTGTAGGTGAGGGTGTTTTCCAACCAGTTAACATCTGGTTAACTCTCTGTTGTTTTTGTTGGCTGCTATTGATGCTCAGTGGCCAGATCTCTGTATTTACTATGGGGTTGAAACAGTTGATATTTTAATTGTATTATTTCTTCTTGTTGTATTAGCTATAATACATCTATAATGAGAAACTTCTCTTCATTATTTAGTTACCCATTAGAAAGAATAAATGTTTAATCTTTCTCTTTATTTACCAGTTTCCAAAACATTGAATTGGTTCTACACCACTCTTCAACAGTGACCAACAGAGCACACATTTAAAATTGTCACAGTGAGAATAGAGCCTATCCAGATAGAAGCTATGATTGAGATTAGGGTTGTGGGACTTTCAGACATTTGGAACAGTATTTCCCAAACTTTCTTGACCACAGAGGCCTTTAAAATGTATGAGACTTTCTCCAGAGGAGTGGGAGAGCCCAGATTGAAGGAATTCCATCCATATCTCTCCGTTGCCCACTTCTCATTCTCTCTTCTCAGTCCCTTCTTACCTCCCCTCCCCATCCCCACAACTCTTTTCAGCCTTTTGTTCTGGAAAGGATCAAAGCTAACCAACCCTTCTTGAAATGATCATGATTCCATCCTCATTGAATTCTAATTAATTATATCTGGTCAGAATTTAAATTGATGTCCAGTGAAAAGTTTATTCTTATGGCGTTAAAATTTGACCCTGAAATTGTAATTTTCTCATATTAAAGATGGGATTAAAGTTCTTCTGGATTGTGAGAAAAGTATTCTCTTTTATACTGTATATTAAATGCTTTACATTCATCATATTATTTTTTCAAAGAGTTTATAATAGACTTATTTAATAGAGACTGGAGCAGGGTACTAACTATGACCACCTCATCTGATCAAGTACATTAGCTAAATCTAAACTAATAACTATGACCACCTCATCTGATCAAGTACATTAGCTAAATCTAAACTAATGAGTAGTATTAGACTTAAGATATGATAATTATTTTACTTCCCAAAATTCCTTTTCAGATGAGACAAACAGATCCGAAGGTAGTAACAGCTTTGATTCACAGACCTTGGAGCCTTAGCCATACAGGAGATGGGAAACCACGCTTTGATACTTACTGGAAACATTCCATATTTGTAATAGTGGACATTTTGCTCGATTGGAGCATGCATAATATCTTATGGTACCTGTGTGGAATTTCAGCTTTCCTTGTGCAAAAGGATTTTGTATCCCCGTAAGTTGGAATGTTTTTTGTTTTCTCCTGACACATTTCCTGAATGTTCTTCCTTCTTGGAAAGGAAGGAATAACAGAGTGGACAACCAAGATTGGTTCTGACCTGCAAAGTGTACCATGCCTCTAAATTGGAATGCCACTGGCTTCTTAGGTGGGAAGAGTTCAGGCATATATCACTGTTTCCAACCAGATTGATTAGATAGTCTTGGTTTTTTAGTACATTAAAAAAAGAAGAAGAAGAAGAAGAAGAAGAATCTGCCAAACTGGGGGTGAGAAAAGGATTTTATTTTTTGTGATTGACTTCTTTTGAAAACCAACAGGATCTTGGACAGAGCCATAGTGAAGGTATCTATGGGCACCAGCCTCAACCCTACCATCTTTCCTCCTGCTTCCCTGAACATTACATGCTCTGCCCCATCTCTTCCAAGAAATTTTCCACTTCCTAACTTGCTAGCAATCTCTGAATCTTTCTTCTGGCAATTCTATAGCTGTATATTTCAGCAGACTGGAGTTGTAAGTTTCATATTATTTTAGACATACATGTGTTTAAGTCAGTAAATATTTGGTGAGTGCCCACAGTATTGCAGGGTACCATATTAAGAAGCAGTGGTGAAGAAACAAAGCTACCTCATGGAGTTTATAGCCAAGTACAAGAGAGAGATACTAATCAAATAAAAACCCAGTAAATATAAAATTACAACTAAGATATCTAAGATAACTGCCATGTAGGAGAGAACAGTCTGTATAGCCTGTGTAATCCATCCTAGTCTAGGTAGTCAGGGAAAGCGTCCCCAAGGAAGTGCCAATTAAGCTAGGATCTGAGGATGAGTGGGAAGTAGGGGTGGTCCAGGTCAGAGGGAAAGACACGTGCAAAAGAGTTGTGGCAGGAAGGAGCATGGTTCTTGGAAGAAATCAAAGAAAAATTAATATTCTGCAGCACAGAAAAGAAAGGGGAAGTGTGTTATGAGATGAGGCCAAAGAGACAAAGAGGGGCCAAGCCAGGTGCACCTTCAGTGACTATGCCAAGGACATTCAGGGCAGGGGTGTCATTAGCAAGCTACTGAAGTGCTTTAAGCTGGAACATTGTGGAGGAAGTTCACAGCATGCTGGGTTTGGAACGCTCTTTCTGATTGCAGTGAGAGGCCAGTTAGGCGGCTTTCTCTGGGCACTTTTGGTACACAGTGAACACCATACTTAGTGACCATTTTACATTCCTGAGACACATGGTCATTATCCTAACAGGATTGGTTTTTCTTCTTTCTCCAGGAACTACTTGAAGAAGTGGTCAGCTAAAGGAATCCAGGTTGTTGGTTGGACTGTTAATACCTTTGATGAAAAAAATTACTACAAATCCCATCTTGGTTCCAGCTACATCACCGACAGCATGTTGGAGGACTGTGAACCTCACTTCTAGACTTTTACCCAGGGGAGGAAACACGGGTTCAGAAACTACCAGTGGCCCCATGTAGGGATTTCAAAATACCCTTTGTGTTAGCCCAGGCCCTGGGGGGTAGGGTGGCTCACACAAGCAATAGTTGTTAATTTCATTTTTACCTGAACCAAAGCAAAACCCAGTGTTGCCACCATGCTCCATGGAATGCCTAAGTTCAACACTGTTGCTCTTGAAAATCTGGGTCTGAAAAAAGGCACAACAGCCCCACCCTGACCTACCTGAAAGTATACACAGGGACCCAGTGAGGATAAGCACAGATTGAGTCATGCAATTTGGGGATGCAGATGTAAATGCATGAGGCATGCATCATCGCTCAAGAGTTGACATTTTAAAACTTGCCACACTCAAGTATTTTACTTATTTCAAATATCTGTATTCAGCCATGTTAACAAGGTACTGTAGATGTCAAACTTGAGGCCATACTAATAAAAGCATTACAAGGAGCGCTAAAGGAAAACTGTCCCAAGCATCATATCCTGAGGCATAAGGAATTTGAGGAAGCTGCTTTGTGTAATCCAGTGAAGATTCAATGTGCAGCCACCAAAATTGTAGGAAAGTCTTGAAACCGATCTGAGGATTTATGGTATTCTGAATTAAGTGCTACAAACCACCAGGTGGCAGAGTTGCACTTTTCCAGGCTTATTAAGTAACTCTAACAGATGATTCTAGAAAATTAGAACTGGAAGAAACTTCCAAGAACATTTAGGCTAATCCTCATTTTACAAATGAGAAAAAACTAAAACCTGTGGAAGGGAAGGAGTTGCCTCAAAAATCACACAGCTTATGATAGCAGAGCCTGATCTCATGATAACTACAATTTCTTGTTTACAACTGGCCAGGAACTGTATAAGTGGTTTAATAGGCATTATCTTATCCAACCCTCACAAAAATCTTATGGAGATGTTAACATTCTTTTTACTGATGAGGAAACTGAGGCACTGCCTAGTTAAAGTCACAACCAAGGTCTCTGAGTCTGTGGTACAATTGTTATTCCAATACAGGTTCATCTGCCTCTGGATCCACTGTTCTTAACCACTCACCAGGTCTGCCCAACTCTGTGCTCTTTCCCACATGAACTTCCAGGTTTTTATTACAAACTTAAGTAACAATATTTAAGTTGAATTTTTTAAAAATGGCAATGCTGTCTGTCTCTAGCTCACCCCTTCCCACCTTTGAATCCCATCTGTAGCCGTTATCCCAGGCCCACATCTTAGCCATGGCTTCCATCTTCCATTCCTCCAGTGGGTCACCAGCCTCACACACACTTGCAGGGGCCAGGCAGTGAGAGTTTTGAAAGACCACCAGTCTACTCGGCTAGGTGTCAATGAGAAGTGAGAACTGATCAATGAGAACTGATTTTTTCCAACAGTTAGTGTTGGCAGGGACACAATAGATGGGGCTAAGCACATTTTCAATCAACACTTACAAAGAAATTTTCTTTAATTTTAAAATTAAAAACAAAGATTTGTTCATTGAACAAATGTCTAAACTGCATGCACTTCCATGCCACATTATGAGTAGAGTGAAAAGGTGGAGGAAAAAGTGACAAATCTGTAGACTGAATTCAGCCCTGGGGTACCTTCTGAGAGTGCACAGGCAACTGACAGGGAAAGGTTTCTCTTGGTGGCAGTATTGAGTTAATAACATCCTTTTTGTTGTGTGAAGACCTCTAGACAGCCAGGACTTCTCTATCTCTTGACCTTCATCCCAAATTCATTTTGCCCTTGATTTAGCTAAGCCAAATTAAGGATTTGGGTCCTATGCTAAAGTAGTCTCAGCTTTGAACAGTGGAGAATTCAGAAGATGATATAAGGTGTTAATAACTAGTAATATTAACAGTTATTAAGTACTTCCTTGGAAGACTTAGTATAGGGTTAAAAACAGGATTTGGATCATAGAAAATGCCAAGTCTGAATTTCTGATGAACAACTTACTAGCTGTATGACCTTGGGCAAGTTACTTAATTTATCTGTAAAACAGGTAGAATTTGTACCAACTCAAAGGGTGGGTGTGATTAAATGAAAGAGTAAAAGAGTAAAATATTTGTTAATTAACATTTATTGACTGCCTACCATGTACTAGACACTTTTAAATGTTTTCCATGTATAGTATTTAGTCTTTGCAACAATAAAGTGAGGTAGATACCATTGCAATCCCATTTTATAGTAAAGGTTAAATAATTTGGCCAAAGTTACATAGCAGTGATAGAATATGGATTTGGACTTAGAATAAGGATTCTGGAATTTGATCACTTAGGTGAGCCCATACTCTTAACCATTGTTAACATCATTGCTCCTGACAAGGACTCAAAAAATTAGAAACATCTTTTTTGTTTTGTTTTGTTTTGTTTTTGAGACAGAGTCTAGCTTTGTTGCTCAGGCTAGAGTGAGTGCCGTGGCGTCAGCCTAGCTCACAGCAACCTCAAACTCTGGGCTCAAGCATCCTACTGCCTCAGCCTCCCAAGTAGCTGGGACTACAGGCATGTACCACCATGCCCAGCTAATTTTTTCTATATATATATTAGTTGGCCAATTAATTTATTTCTATTTATAGTAGAAATGGGGTCTCGCTCTTGCTCAGGCTGGTTTTAAACTCCTGACCTCAAGCAATCTGCCCACCTCGGCCTCCCAAAGTGCTAGGATTACAGGCATGAGCCACCACGCCTGGCCAGAAACATCTTAATCATTCCCAGCATCTATCACAGTGTCTGTCACTCACATAGCTGATGCTCAATAAATGTTTGTTGAAGGAATGAATTTTGGAATCTTCAAGTGGAAAGCTCCTTGAGGAAACTCTAGAGAAGACCGATAGTGAGATGAAATTTAAGGCTGTAGATAAATGACTAAGGATGGAGCAGCATCAAGAGGCCAGCTAAAGCCATGATCAATAACATTCTTTCCAGGAAAAAGTCAGCACAGATTAAAACACATCCTCCTGCTCATTGGACTGCCCCTTTGCCCCTCAGGATGTCAGAAACAAAGATAGCAAAGGGTTATCTCAGAAGGCTTAAGAAATCCACTATTTCCTTGATTATATGACACTCATTTTTTTTATTTGGAGATTGGTGTTGCAAATCTATTTCAACAAGAATTTGACCAAGATGTATTTTTACTGGATACAAATTTCTCAATAAAATTACATCTACCATTTCCTAAAGCAGGGACAGGGCTTCAACAGGGCAGTCAACCACAGCTGAGCACAAGGGTATGGGTTAATGAAGTGGTCCAAGCAATCACTCAGACCCTTGTTAGCATGGCATGATCATTACTGTAGGACAAAGTTATGTGACTTCTTTGATCAAAAATATTGAAGAATAATGACCTCCTTTGTTCTGTTACCAAACTTTATGCTCAGAATCTATCAGTAGAACACTGAATGTTAAGCAGAGGTTGGGTTATCAGCTGCACACGGTGGTTCTCAAAGGATGGTGTCTTTTTGGACATGTATTCAACATCAGCATTATGGGAAACTTGTCAGAAATGCAAATTCTCAAATCCCAGCCAGAACTTCTGAATCAGAAACTCTGGTTGGGGCCCAGTGATTTGTTTAAACAAGCTGTCCAGGTGGTTCTGACACACAAGTCTCAGAACCACTGAGCTAGAGAAACACATCTAAGACAAGCTTCCGGGAAACTCAAAGACCTAAATTCTGTCACTAACTGGCTATGAGACCTTAGACAAATCACTTAAGCCATGTGTGCCTAAGTTGTCATCATCTGTCAAATGGTAATCATAATTTGTTCTAATTATCTTATAGTGATAATCAGATTCAAATGAGGAAAAAAAGAAAGTGTTTTTAAAAACATACTAATAGTGTAATACTATTGTTATGAAGATAAAATAAGAAAAGTACAAGTGCTTTAACACCATATTATTCAGTGTGGTGGTCAGACCCGCAGCACTTATTAGAAATGCAGACTCTCAGGCCCCATCCCCATCCTCACAAATTAAAATTTGCATTATAACCAGATTCCCAGGTGATGAGAGTTGGAGAAACACTCATAGGTGTAAGGCATTACTCTTATCCTGCAGGTGCAATTCTGAGCAAAGCAGAGTCCCCCCGCCCCCCACACGACCTCTGCTCCACACCTGAGCTTCCCTCTCTGGGGTCTTTCTCACAGTTGATCAGCCATAAATATCATGAACAAGTTCTACCTTTGAGAATTTAGGGAGGTATTGTTAAGCGCTGCAATTCTGAAAGACAATTCCTATTCATGAGTTCAATTCTTACCACTTGTCCTCAATTCAAAGATTATAAAAACATATGCAAATCATATGCTATTTTAGTCATCCCTTTTATAATTGAACTATACACAAACTCATCTCATTGCCTCCTAAGAAATGAACTGGCCATTCACTGAGGATCCGGCCACTGGAAGGCTCAGATCATGCAAAGGAGCTATTCTTTTTTATACTCAAAACTATGGAGGTTCTCCAGGTGTCAAGTCACTGTTGGAAAGCATTGATTATTTTTATCATTTTGAACCAGTTAAAGGGTGGGAAGAGGAGAATAGGGAATGTTCCCTGAAGATTCTGATGTAATATTCTGGGCTCATCATTTGCATGTTTAATAAATGTTTCAGGTAGCTCTTATAGTCAGGCAAGTTTTGGAAAGAACTCTAGATCCTAGTTCAATGGCTCTCAAACTTGGCTTCCCACTAAAATCACCTGGGGATCCTTAAAGATAAAGTACAGATATCTGGGTTCTGCTACAAAGTTGCTAACTTAGCTGGTCTACAGTGAGGCCTGACCTGTTTGCTGTTAACAGTCCCTCGTGTGACTCTGAGTGCAGCTGGTGTTGAGAACCCCACTGCCTAACCACAGGCTTCTCCCCCGGTTAGAAACTGAATTGTGTCCCCCAAGATTCACATGCTGAACTCCTAACCCCTAGTACCTCAGAATGTAATTGTATTTGAAGATAAGGCCTTTAAACAGGTGATTAAGTTAAAATGAGGCCTTTAGGGTAGGTCCTAATCCAATCTGACTAGTGTCTTTATAACAAGAGGAAATTTGGACACACAGAAACACCCGGGCATCTGTGTGCATGGAGGAAAGACCATGTGAAGACACAGTGAGAAGGTGACCATCTGCAAGCCAAGGAGAGGGGCCTCAGAATGAAACCAACCCTGCCAACACTTTGATTTTGGACTTCCAGCCTCCAAAACTGTAAGAAAATATTAATAAATTTTTGTTGTCTAAGCCACCTAGTCTGTGGTGTTGTGTTAGGGCAGCCCTAGCATACACCACTATCCCCTATCTCAAGGCAAGTGTTGAAAGCATCCTTCTCACACCTCAGTGTGTATGCATGAGACCTACAGACCAGATCTTTCTTTTACACCTCCAGGAGAAGCAGGGGCTGCACTGATGTGGAAATAAGGGACGGAGGTGGATGGAGCAGCACTCCATGTAGAAGCACTTAGCATCTGGTAAGTGAGCAGAAGTGACACTTTGAGAGGGAGCTCACATTTCAATGCAGAAGCCAAAGCAGCACAAACAGCATTAAGATGACCCAGAGGGGGAAAAGATCACTTCAAACATCACTCCATGGGCTGCCTTCACTGACCCCACAGACAAATCTCCCATAGTCCCCTGTGCTTCCCCTTCAGAACCCCTATCACAACCATGATTAATTACTGTTTGAGTATTAAGTTCCTGTCTAAATTGATCTGCTAGATAGTAAGCACCATTTCTTCACCATCTTTTTTACCACCACTTGACCCATATTGAATGAACGAACAAATGAATGAATCTAGTAGCAACCACTACAAAGATGATACCAAAACAAATTAATTCAGTTAATGAAGTGAATTAATGAATAAATAAGTGAACAAAAAAGTAAATCAATGACTGAGCATTGATTGGGTGCTTGTGTTTCAAATGTAACTTAAATGCTTTCTAAATTCAGTTCCAATAAGATTTCATGACAGTCATTACTAAAGAGGAGACTCCTCTCCCCTGAGTAATTTGCACTCTTCTGAAGGACCTTCAGTTTTAATAACAGTCACATGCCTTGTGAATCATTGAGCAAATCTGCAAAAAATTTATACACACACATTCATTACACATGCATACACACATATTCCATAAATCACCACTGCCTTCATGTTTGGTTCAACATAAGACTTTTTTTGTTTGTTTTTAGAGACAAGGTCTCACTCTGTCATCCTGGCTGGAGTGCAGTGGCTTGATCCTCCTGCCTCAGGCTCCTAAGTAGCTGGGACTACAACTATGCACCACCACCCCCTCCTAATTTTTAAAGAAGTTTTTTGTAGAGATCGGATCTCACCATGTTGCCCAGACTGGTCTCCAACCCTTAGACTCAAGTGATCCTCCTGCCTCAGTCTCCCAAAGTACTGGGATTACAGGCATGAGCCACTGCACCCAGCCACATATGAGGTTTTATACATGACCAGTGTCTCATGTCTAAGGCACAGTGGCTCATGGCCTATAATCCCAGCACTTTGGGAGGCAGAGGCAAGAGGATCACTTGAGGCCCAGAGTTTAAGACCAGCATAGGCAACATGATGAGATCCCTGTCTCTACAAAAAATGAAAAAATTAGCCAGGTGTGGTGTCATGTGCCTGTAGTCCCAGCTACTCAGGAGGCTAAGGCAGGAGGATGGCTTGAGCCCAGGAGTTCAAGGCTGCAGTGAGCTGTGATGATACCACTGTACTCCAATCTGGGCAACAGAGTGAGACCTTGTGTCAAATAAAACAAAACAAAAACCTCATAGGGGAGACCTCCCTCCATCCCTCCAGTCCAACTCCAGATACTTGTATACTCAATATACAAGAAAGTTCAGGGACAAGACCTCTGGTTGTACTTCACCTTGTGAAGACATGGGGATGTTTTTAGCTCAAAGTCATGAACGAATGCAGGTTCCACAACTCAGAAGCTTTACATCCCTAAATGAGGATCACATTTTTATTCAGCCTGAACCACTTTTCTTACCACCAGTTTTAAACCTTTGCCAGATCTGGGAGGTCTGGGAGGGGAGATTCTCAAGGACCTATCATTCATACACATATTTCTTAAAGATAAAAATACATCATTCCCAAGTTGCCTCTTCCCAGATGTTTGTGTGCTAGTTTCAATATGACAATAATCTTTATTGGAAAACCTCAAGTATTTTGTCTTAAAAAATTAGCAATCCAGGTGTTAAAAAAATAGTAGGGACTGCCCAATTTTACTTTGATATTTACATTGTAGTCAGTTTCCGCTCCTGGCTAAAGGCTTGGATTCCCCTTCTGGGAGGCTCCTAAAGGCCATGGAAGGTGTCACAGAAGAAGTTCCATTTTCACCTCTTTCCTTATTTGATTGCTGTCTGGCTGCCACAATAATCATGAAGCCCTTGGATTATCTTCTTGGACTGATTGCCTAAATCGCAGGCCTGGGTTTGACACAGAAAAGAGAAGTGAATGCCAATACACCCTGCCCCATCTCTACAAGGGAAGGGCCAAATGGCCTTCAAGATCTCATAGTTTCTTGTACCTGCCTCTTCCTTTTTAGTTTCTGTAACCCTCCCCCTTGAACTCCCATCACTAGATGTTGTTGGTAAATGCTATCCCAAAAGATGAATGGTTTGGTTTGTTTCCTGCCCAGTGTTCACTCTTCCTTGTGGCATCAGCTCCAGATATTCTTTGGGAAGCCACCCTTCTCTACTCCCAGTCCCTGGGGTCTTTATGGATGCACCACCTAAATCTACAGGTGAGGCATCTGACTCACATCTCACCAGGGGAACCACCACATTTTCATAGTCATGGCAAATTGGCTCAAGGATGGGTACATCACCCAGTCAGATCCCATGAAACACTGTGAGAATCCTGGGTTCCCCACTCTTTCCCACTGGACTGAATCTGGGAATATATAAGAAGTTGGTAAAGCTGTCTTGCAATTATTGGGAAGAGCCTATTTGCAAAAGGAACTAAGATAATGGATAAGAACCAAACTGAAATAAACCAGGGTCTGGTAACATTGCAAACTCCAGTTTTGGGCTAGGCCAAAAGCAAGAATCATCCTTGGATTTTTGCTTAAGCCAGTTTGGGTTGGGTTTGCAATTGAAAGAGCAATGGAGGCCAGGCGCGGTGGCTCAGGCCTGTAATCCTAGCACTCTGGAAGGCCGAGGTGGGTGGATCGCTCAAGGTCAGGATTTCAAAACCAGCCTAAGCGAGACCCCATCTCTACCAAAAATAGAAAGAAATTACTTGACCAACTAAAAATATATATACAAAAAATTAGCCAGGCATGGTGGCGCATGCCTGTATTCCTAGCTACTTGGGAGGCTGAGACAGGAGGATCGCTTGAGCCCAGGAGTTTGAGGTTGCTGTGAGCTAGGCTGACACCACGGCACTCTAGCCTGGGCAACAAAATGAGACTCTGTCTCAAAAAAAAAAAAAAAAAAAAAAAAAGAGCAATGGATACACAAGCAATTCCAACCCTCCATCTTGTTCTGTGCCAATTTGGTTACTCACCAGGGGCAGCATCACGTTCCCCCAAATGCAAGAGGCCTTGTTGCTGAAAGAGAAGAAAACGGGCAGCCACATCACTGAGAAAGAATGTAGATTCTGGGTCTTGTTGCATAGTTGGCATCATTTGTAAGCCCCCCACCATTTCAGAATTAAGGGGTGACTAATTAAGACCAAGCCTCAGCCATAGAATTATCAAACATGTTTTGCTTTTTAGGGACACTAATTCCATTCATTCATTCATTCCACAGATATTTAATGAGCATTTACAATATGCCAGGTAATATATTAGGACCCAGGGTGACAGGGGTACAGACTGGTCTCTGCCCTCAGAGGATTTAGCACTGGGCATTCTGTCAAGGTCACAACTTCCAAAATGAGTGGCATTTGAATTAAAGTAGGGTGTACCCTTTACCCATATTTTCCAGGACACCAAAGCCAGCAGGGGCTTTGGAATTAGAACAGGGTTTCAGGCATCTTTATACCTTCTTGGTAAGAATGAAATTGGTAAAATCTCTTTACAAGAATGATACAGCAATATCTATTAACATTATAATGTACATGCCTTGTGGAAGAAATACATAAAATAATTATAACAAAAATGTTTTATTACATATGATTTTTAGTATTTAAAAAACCTAGAAACAACCCAAATTTCCAAATATGTACTAAATGAAATAATGTCTGAGATATATTAAGGGGACAGAAAACTTCATGATACTATATCTATAATATAGCCCAACCGTTGTAATAAATAAGTAAATTATTAAAGTATTAGTAGATGCAGGTATGCTAGCAGATGTCTATAGAAAAATATCTGAAAGAATATACACTGACCTATTAATAGTGGGATGAGATTTCAGGGTATTTTTTAGCTCAGTGGGATCTACTTCTGTTATCACTGGGTTCTATAAAATAGGGGTCCCTAACCTATGGTGAGCTGTATAATTATTTCATTATATACTACAATATAATAATGGAAATAAAGTACACAATAAATGTAATGTGCTTGAATTATCCCGAAACCATCCTCCCACCCCCAGTCCGTGGAAAAAAATTGTCTTCCATGAAAATGGTCCCTGGTGCCAAAAAGGTTGGAGACCACAAGTTCCGTGAGGGCAAGAGCTTTTGTCTTGTTCACCATAGCACCCCAGCACCTAGAATAAGTCCAGGCATGGTACGTGTTGAATGAATGAATATTATTTTTTAAATAAAAAACACAGAAATGTTTAAGTACAGAAGTTAAAGGGCCCTTCTGTGATAGCAAAAGCTTGGTCTCTAGTTCCCTGATGCACTTTTACAAGGAGGCAAGTCTGTGCCCCAGGGGGTTCCCAAGGCAGTCTCCAACCTCACCTCCACTTCGCTCCTCTCCAGTATGAGAGAGCTGGGGTTCACTCTCTTCTCCGTATCCTGCAGCTTGATCAGCTTTTCTATCAGGAACATTTTATCTTTGCCCTCCTGCCAAGAAGGAAAACGAACACATGGATGAATGATGGCGTGAGGTTGAGAAGCAACTGATGGCAAAACGGCTGATTTTCAGGTAGGTAGGGCCCCAGAAGTTGGATGGAGATTGCTGCCATGTTTTCTCTTGTTGAAAGAAAAGAAACATTTTATAGCAAAGCTAAATTATCCTCCCCCCAACTATATGCTTTCTGCATTTTAATATTCCCTCTAAAGCAATTCCCCTAGCAAGGTGGAGTAGTAGCTTCTGGCCTGCTGCCAAAAACAACTTACATGCCACTGTCTGAATGCCCAGGACAATGTTTTTCAGTGTTCCCCTTCCTGGCATGCTCCCTGGCCCAGAAGCCTGTTCTTTGAACCTAGTATTGCCTGGGTCTGCCCTGTCCTCCCACTGAGAATGCCAAAGTTTAGAGCTCTGCCCCTAAGGACATTAAGGGTGTTTCATTAGCCAAAGTCACCTGTGTTGAGGGAGATCACTAATTCCAAATAGGGCAGAGGAACAAAGGAAGGGGGCCCTTCACCCAGTTGGGTGTAATCACTTTCCTGTGATCTCTGTTGCAGATAAGAGAGCAGAGCATTCCACCTGTGAGTAGAAGCAGTCAAGCAAGCCCCTTTGGTTGCTGTATGTCCCATCTAGGTCAATCGTGGCAGTCCCATTTCCATACCTCTGTTTCTCCTTTAGCTTTTACCCACTAATTCAAGCATCCACCAGTGGATGTTGATAGTAACAATTATTACAGTGGTGTTTGCTTCAAGATGATTTTCTAGTTCCCTCAGTCCTTCTACACATATTAATTGAAATTCTTCTATAAGGAAGAACTGTCTTTGGGAATTGGTGTTTTAAACAAGTCCCTGAGCTGCCTTGGATGTGGCTAGCTTGTTTGGAAATTTCTGGTCTAAAGCAGCTGTTTTCACACTCTAGTGAAAATTACAGTTACCTAGAAAGTGTACAAAGCTGCAAACTCCTAAGCCTTACCCAATACATTTTTATTCAGAGGCTAAACTCCATTGTAGTTAAGAACACAAACTTTGGAGTTGCCTGGTTCAAATCCCACCATTGATTTACTGGTCTTGTGACTTAGGGTAAATCACTTCATTCTGTAAGCCTCTGTTTCCTTAATTTTAAAATGGGAGTTTAAAGAAATGCATGTGCCCTAGAGTAGTTAAAATTAAATAGGAATTTTTGTTTGTCACTTAGTACAAGGCCAAGCCTCATGTTAGTACACAACAAATGTTATCTGTTGCTGTTATTGCTTGGGAAAAGGAGATAGCAGAAATCTGCATTTTTAATAAGCATCCAGGTGTTTTTGATGTAACGGATCATACATTGAGAAGGATTGTTGCAAAGCCTATTCCTAGCCTCTTTATCTGGGTTCTTTTGGAGATAATGCCCCTGCCTTTGTGGTCCATCGTCTGGCCGAAACTCCCAAGCAGGTAGGCCTGTGGTGATGCCAAATCATGCCATTCAAATGTCTCCCCAGTTGACCTGGCACTACCCTTACAACTCAAGGCTTTAGAATCAAATCCCTCCTATACTGAGATGTTTGTAAGACTTTCCCAAACCATTCAGAGCTCTGCCAGAAAGAAGGGGAAAAGCACAACTAATCTATGCCCTTTATTTACATTCCAAAAGAACGAACTCAAATTATCTAAAACCGCAACTGATTCAAGCAGATACAACAGTAGGGAGTTCTGCTTCTTTCCCATACTCTTAGTGACAAGCTCTCATATCAGTTACGTTTGTACTTGAAAGAAAAGGGAACCAGTCCAGTAACAGTGACCACCCCTGTGCCTAGACTGTGTTCTCTAAATACCACTCACCAGGACTCCTTGAAGAAATGGCAATTCCTGTTCTGGGACAGGAAATGAACAAAGATAAGCCTGGAATATCTTGTCCTTCCATGGAGCAAAGGAGTTATCAAAGGCTTCTGGGGTCATGTCAAAAGAACCCAGGGTTTCTACTAGCAAAGGCTGATACTATTTGAGCATTTAAAAAAACAAGACTGAAATTGAAAGATATTGAAATATGTTTAAACCATGAATTCATAGTGATTATTTAAAAATCTTCATTGGCCATATTTGGAGGTTGCTAGATATAGTGGATTAAACAGTGTCCTCCATTTAAAAAGACATGTCTACACCTGAACTCCAGGACCTGTGAATATGGCCCTACTTGGGAATAGGGTCTTTGCAGAAATAATTAAGGATCTCCTAGATTAGGGCAGACCCTAAATCCAATGACAAGTCATGAGAAGAGAGAAGAGAGAAGAGAAGAGAGGAGAGAGGGGAGAGGGGAGGAATGGAGGGGAGAAGGAAGGAGAGAGAGGAGAGAGAGGAGAGGAGAGAGAGGAGAGGAGAGGAGAGGAGAGGAGAGGAGAGAGAGGAGAGAGGAAGAGACAGACACAGAGAAAAAGGCCTTGTGAAGACGGAGGCAGAGACTGGAGTTATGGCGCTCCAAGCCAAGAAACATCAAAGGGTTGCCAGCAGGGACCAGTGGCAGATTCTCCCTCAGAGCCTTAGAAGGAACCAGCCCTGCTAAAACCTTGATTTTGGCCTCCAGAACTGTGAGATAATAAATTTCTGTTGTTTTAAGCCACCAAATTTGTGGTAATTCATTATGGCAACCCTAGTAAACTAATACACTAGGGCACTAACTCATAATTTTGAAAACTGTTAAGTAAAGGGGAAGAATCATGCATTTACCTTGCCTCTCTCCTGTGAATTACCTTCCAAGGCAATCAAATACTTAATGAGCAAAAATTCTTTTTTTATAGAAGAATCCTAGCTAATGAATGCATGAGGAATTACAGAATTAGACTCTCTCTATGTTGTAATTTCTAATGAAATAAATGGATCTTCTAGGCATTACTAATCAAAGGCTGCTAAATCCATTAGAAGGCAGGCTGATGGGATATTTAAAAATAAATGGATCAGCTTGAACCCACTGATCACTGTTAACATCACAGAAAAAGAAACAATCAGACATTGTCTGTGTTGAGGCAATGCCATAGAAGGGTATAATATCACCTATGAGGTACTCTGTCTACAGAATTGGATCTGGATATAACCAGTCTCATCACCAGTTTACAGGAAATAAAAAGAAAAAAATAGGAAACCTACTAAACAACGCTGCAGGGTTGCAAATCAGATATGTGCAGAATATGGTAAATACAAAACAAGTGACCTGCATTCTTCAACAACAAAAATACAAGAGAAAGTGGGGGGTGGTTATAGATTAAAAGAAAATTAGCATATCAACCAAATGCAACATGTGAACCTTTTTCAGATCTGATTTGAACAACTCTACTGTAAAAAGAAACTTAATAGCACAAATGGGGAAATTTGAACATTGGCTATTAGATGATAGATTATTAAGTTTTTTCAGGTGTAATGATGATATTGTGGTTAGTTTTTGTTTGGTTGGTTGGTTGGTTTTTGTTTTTTGAGACAGGATCTCACTCTGTTGCTTGGGCTAGTGTACAGTGCTGTCATCAAAGCTCACAGCAACCTCAAACTCCTGGGTTCAAGCGATTCCCTTGTCTCAGCCTCCCAAGTAGTTAGGACTACTGGTGTGTGCCACCATACCCAGCTAATTTTTCTGTTTTTTGTAGAGACGGGCTCTTATTTTGTTGCTTAGGCTGGTCTTGAACTCTTGGCCTCAAGTAGTCCTCCCACCTTGACCTCCCAAAGTGCTAGGATTATAGGCGAGAGCCACCATGCCCAGCCTGTGGTTATGTTTTTAAAACATCTTTATCTCATAGAGATGTACATAAAAGTTTTAACAGATTTAAAAAATATATAAAGTATAAGATTTGCTTTAAAATAACCCAGAGATTTGCAGGGAAGAGATCATGTAGATGAAGTAACAACATACAAATGTTAATGGTTGTTAGTGCTGGGTGGCAAGGATATACCACTTGTACAGTACACCCTTGTACTGTTTTGGAATGTGTTTAGACAGTTCCCTCTGAAGTGTTAGAAAAAGCGGGGAGGATAACAGAAGGGTCCAATGGAATTTACATTAATGATCTGTTCATGGAGCAGCCTGATCATAATCTTCCTTCCTTCTGTGATCTGCCAGTAAAGGTAGGTGATGATTCTGAAAGAGAAGAAAAGAAAGAATGACAGACACTTTTGCCAATGAGTTACAGGCTCTGAATTTCAACTGGATGCAAAGGAACTGGAATATTTTCTTGCAAATAGATTTTGGTCTCTATATGTTCCTGAAAATTTATGTCAGGGTGAGTTATAGGTTAAATACATTAGAACAGTGCTTCTTACCTGGCTGCACATGGAATCACCTGGAAGGTGGAGATAAAGACCCATGCCATAGTCCCTCCTCAGACCAATTAATTTAGCATCTCTGGGCATGGGACCAGATATTAGCATTTAAAAAATGTACATGATTCTAATGTGCAGCTAGAGTCTGTGAATCTGGACAGTGCTGTTCTAACTTCAATGTGATATATTTCCTGGGTTTTTGTTCAAATGCAGATTCTGGTTTAGTAGGTTTGGGATAGGGCCTAAGTTCTACATTTCTGATGAGCTGCTGCCCATGATAAATA